TACGAGTGGAGTCGTGTCGTTCGATTGTAACGAAGGAAAATCGACGTACATAGGATTTCCTTCTAAGTACGCTGCTTTGAGGCGATCGATGCTGATGCTATCGTTGGTTCCGTCCTTATCGATTATATAGTGCTTAGGTTTGCGTTGAAAACTTTGAAAGGTCCTTCGTATGCTGATTCGAAAGGTCGTTGATGTGAGTCTCGACGCACAAAAACGTGTGTACTATATCGTAACTCAGGTTGAACGAAAACATCAGTTGATTGAGGTCGAGTGGAAGCAGGTTTAACTGAACTCGTTGCGTTTGTAAGCCTGTTCGTGTAGGAGGTTAGATCCATGTTCATTGAAGAGGATGAAGGATCCACGAATTCTCCTGGAAGTTTAAGTGTCGTTCCATAAACGAGTTGAGCCGCAGTGTATCCAATGTCAGCTTTCACTGCATTGCGGATACCTAGTAAGACGAGTGGAAGAGCGTCGGTCCACTGTGAAACGTTTGCAGCTAATAGCGAAGCTTTCAGTTGTCGGTGAAAACGTTCTACCAACCCGTTTGCTTGTAGATGGTAGGCGGTCGTTCGGAGGCAAATGATTCCTAAAAGTGTGGTCAGACGACGGAAAAGATCAGATTCAAACTGACGTCCGCGGTCTGTAGTGATGGTTGAAGGGCAACCGAAGTTTGCTACCCATCGTTCGACGAAGGTGCGGGCCACTGTTTCAGCAGTGATGTCCTTGATAGGTACTGCTTCTGGCCATCGAGTGAAACGGTCTACGCAGGTTAAGAGGTAAGAGTATCCATTTGAATCTGGTAGAGGTCCTACCAAATCCAGATGAACATGGTCGAAGCGAGCATCGGGAGTTTTAAACGAGCCTAAGGGACATTTATTGTGTCTGGTAACCTTAGATTTTTGGCAGCTTACACAGGCGCGTGCCCACTCCCTCACGTCTTTATTCATGCCAGGCCAGCAAAACCGTTCTGCTAGAAGCTTGATGGTTGCACGAACACCTGGATGCGAAAATTTGTGCAATGTGTTGAAGACATTGCGTCGATAATGTTCCGGCACGATTGGGCGATCCCTACCTGTAGATGTGTCACAAAGTAAGGTTCCCTTACCTGTTCCCATCTGTTTGATGCGTAGTTTGAGGGTTGTAGACGATAACTCGTGCTGAAGATCAGTGTCTTCTTTTTGAAGCTCGGCGAGTTTTAGAAGGTCGATTCCTTGGAAACTGTTCAAGGAAGTTATGCGAGATAAGGCGTCTGCAACTACATTGTTTGCTCCAGAGATGTGTTGAATGTCTGAAGTAAACTGCGAAATGTAGTCCAGTTGTCGAGACTCACGGGGAGAGTACTTGTCTGAAGGAGAGCTTAACAAGAAAGTGAGCGGTTTATGGTCCGTGTAAATAGTGAATTCACGACCTTCGACATAGTGTTGAAAATGCCGTACAGCACAATACATAGCTAGGAGTTCCCTACCGAATGTGCTGTACCTCGATTCGGTGTCTAGCAACCGTCTAGAGAAAAATGCCAAGGGTTGCCAGGAGTTGTTAACCCATTGTTGTAAGACTCCTCCGATTGCCGAGTCGGATGCGTCTACTGCGATGCTAATGGGTGCTCGGGTGTCCTGATGTGCGAGCATTGTTGCTTTAGCAATCAGTTCCTTAACTGTGGAGAATGCTTTTCGTGCGGTGTCGTCCAAATTAATGGATTTCGCATTTCCACGAAGTTGGTCGGTTAGAGGTTTCATGAGTAATGCGCATTTCGGTATGAAACGTCTATAGAAACTTACCAGGCCGTTAAACGTGCGTAATTGCTTGACGGTGGTCGGTTCTGGGTAATCCAGAATGGCCGCCACTTTGGTCCTAAGAGGTCGAATGCCTTGAGCATCGATAGTGTGTCCTAGGAAGTCTAACGAGTCGGTTCCGAATTGGCATTTCTGAACGTTTACAGTTATGCCATGTTTTTGAAGTCGTTCGAAAACAAGATCCAGATGCTTGAGATGTGTTTCTCTGTCCGGACTTGCGATTAGACAGTCATCAACATACGCGTGTACGAAGTTGAGACCTCGAAAAACGTCGTCTATGAATCTTTGGAATGTTTGAGCAGCATTCCTTAGACCGAAAGGCATACGCAAAAATTCATAGAGTCCGAAAGGAGTTATGATAGCTGTTTTCGGTATGTCGTCAGCAGCCATAGGGATTTGGTTATACGCTTTAACCAAGTCGATTTTCGAAAAGACAGTTGTACCTTTCAAGGTAGCTGTCAAATCGTGAATGTGAGGCAACGGGTAACGATCGGGAATGGTTTTCGCGTTCAATCGCCGATAGTCACCAGTTGGACGCCAATCGTTGCTGTCCTTTTTAGGGACCATGTGCAACGGAGATACATATGGGCTACTTGACGGTCGTATGATTCCTAAGTCCATCATGTGATCGAATTCGTTTCTCGCTAACCTTAGCTTTTCGGGAGCTAGTCGTCGTGCTTTAGAAAATACAGGTGGTCCTGTAGTCGTGATGTGATGTGTAACATTGCTAGTTACACACGGTAGTTTCGGTTGAGTTTGTTGTATCCCAGGGTACTTATCGAGTAGTGGTTGATAGAGTGGGTCTATCATATGTTTAACTGTGACTGGGGATACTCTACAACCAGTGAAAGAAGTTACGCAAACGGACAAATTAGTGTTTCCGTCTACTAGCCTCCGTTTGCGCGTGTCGATGATAAGATTATGGTGTTGTAGAAGGTCCATACCAATGATTGGCATAGAAACATCTGCAACAACGAAAATCCAATGGATGGGTTTGCGTAAACCCACGTTAAGGTAAACGTACCTTTTGCCATACGTAGCGATCGGTTTTCCGTTTGCCGCCTGTAAGTTTAGGGTCGATTCATGAAGTCGGTCGTTAGGATTCGCTGGGAGAACGCTAACTTCTGCGCCAGTGTCGACGAGGTAGCGAACTCTCGTTGTCACATCTGTGACGAATAACAGACGGTTTTGTTCGCCGGCTACGGTTGCCGTTAACACGTGCCGGCTTGGAAGTTTCCCGAATTGCTTTTCGAATCAGTCGGTTTCGTGTTGGGAAAATTGCAGGGTTTTCTGCAATTTCTGGAAAACTTTCCATACTGGTTATGATACCAGCACCAGTCAGGGTTATCTGTCTCTCGTGGTCTAGAGACAGATCGCTTACGAGAAATGCTTCTACGTGGTGTGCGCGATCTCTTACGGTCGGTACGAAGACTAAGATAACGCGTGAGTGTGTGACATAAGTCGGTTATATCATTCTGAGTCGTGTGAGGCTTTTCTTTGACTGAGAATACCTCGGTAGTAGAATGTTTCGTAATTTCTAAAATGCGGTCGGCAGATGCAGCTAGCTCGTCTAAGGCGTTGTTCTGGAACGAGACCAGAACTGCTTGCACCTGTTGGGGAAGTTTTGACAAGAAGAGTTGTTTGAATAGACCTTCGTCGAAAGTTCTTGGGCCTATTATCTCTCTCATCCGTTGCAACATGTCCGTCGCAGAACCGTGTTGCAGGTCTATGTTATTGAAGAGTTGATCTAACCTTTGTCGATCGGTTAGGTCTCCTCTTTTAAGAATCGAACGTTTCAAGGTTTCGTAAGGGTCAGAAACATCACTAGTAAACATACTAGGTGTTACGTACCTGTCGAATTCGCGCGGTAGTGCCTTGACTACTGCGAGGAATTGTGCACGTGTGTCGATCACGCCGTGCTCGTAGAAGTCGGCTTCTGCGTAGCAAAACCAGGCTTCGATGTTGTCGGGCCAGAAAGGCATCAGTTGAAACGAAGGTGTGGACAAGGTCTTAAGCTTGAGTACTTTGGGTGTCTGTTCAGTCATGATGAAATATGAAGTACGATAATGAACGAGGGGAAAATATATATGTATCCAAGAAAAAATACGAAAAAAAAATCACAATGTTTAAAAAAGAATAAGAAATTAGGCAATGATATATAAAAATCCCAAAAAGGAACAGACTCACAGTTGCAAATAGGTGTACCAGATCACGTCGGTTTCACCAATGATGATGTCACAGGTATTCAGTGTTTGACAACGCTTCTACCAGTAACACCTTCTATTATATTTCGTTCCCACCCAGAGAAATCAAAAGACAGAGTCGAGGAGATCGGAAGAGTATATTTGGCGATGACCAATATATCGGAATTCTCTGATCTAATCTGGCTAGCGATTGCGGTTGATGTTGAGCACGGCGTTACCACACGTGATCTGGTGCGGATGCATGACCGAGCGCTTTCAGCTAGATGAGTCCACTAAAACATATGGTCAGCATCCAATGTCGAAAACTTAGGGCTATTTATTTTGGGGATTTATTTACCGCTACAATGCGAACCTCCCTACTGAACCATGGTGGAGAGTTTCTCGACCCCCTTGGTATAGTCCGATAGATGTGAGGTGCGTTAACTTTTGAGTATAAATCTCAAAATGCGTCCCAAGCCGTTTCAAATGAGGACTCTGGGTCTATTGTACAACCTACTAGCAATGCTGAGTGGATGATATCTGGTATGTTTGCTTTCCAGACGTTAGGTCTGGATCGAGCTAACGCGTGCTCGTGATTGACAGTTATATGGTCGACCTTCCTTCTTCATTACATTTCAAATCACAATTTTTTTGATTTATCCGCGGTAGATGTGTGTATCTGTTTGCTCTAAACTAGATACAACTCAGTTTATTCAAGACGAAACTTCGAAAAAACAAGGAACTTCTGAACATTAATTTCAGCTAATTTTGAAAGACAAGGTGAATTTGAGGAAGCAAAGTTTTACAAATCCACTTTGAAAATCATAATTACAAACATACATGTTTTTAGAGTGAAGAAAGTTAGACTAAAATATTGTAACATGAATTTGATTTGAAAGGTTATGTTATTTTTGAGGGTACCGCCATAGACCTATTGCTCATATTCTGGCGCTCTAATTGGCTGCTGCACTTTTGGGGAGGTATGATGGGATTTTCTGGCTTGTTATACATACTGGAGAGATAAATGAGGACGCTTCACGACAGGATTAATGAACTTGTCTCTCTTTATACTAAAAGTTCACCCCTGCTAGAGGACAACTCGGTTAGCGTAGAATACCTGTTAGACACAATCGTTTGCTTGTCTTATGAATGCAAACTCCCTCAACACAAAAATGAGAGGAACTGCATGAAGTTCTATAATGCTGGTAGGAAGCTTCAGTTTTTTTACTGTCTTTAGTAAAAAAGTATGTCGACAAGATTGAAAGTTGTTGGATATCAAAGTCGGAATTTGAAACCATAAGACTGATTGGATCAGGGGCTTTTGGAGACGTATCAGTTGTTAAGTGGAAAAATGATGGAAAGATATATGCTTTGAAATCTCTCCATAAGTATGATATGCTCAAACGTTCAGATGTAAGTCATTTAAAGCTTCTTAGGATACTTGTAGAGAGCATGCTTTCAAGAGGAGCGTGATGTGATGGTGAAGGCAATGGTCAGTAAATCTCTGTGGCTGGCCAAATTACACCACACATTTCAGGATGAAAAGTTCTTGGTAACTTTGCTTTTTATCTAATGGTAAACTAAGTATTTTCTTATGGATTTTTACAATGGTGGGGATATGCTGACCATGTTGAGCAAGTTTGACGACAAGATACCTGAAAGCATTGTACAGTTCTACGTTTCTGAAATGGTCTTGGCTATTGACGCTTTGCATCAACTGGGTTATGTTCACAGAGATATAAAGCCAGATAACGTGTTGCTACAAAGGTGGGTTTTATGATGAATGGCACCGAGTCTGTTCACTGGTAATTTATAAAATAGCAGTACAGTCTATCCTGAGTTTTTTACATCTTGGACACCTGGAGAAAAATTTAAGTTTGATTCTGAGAATTTCCCTGATAAATTTCTGACGTGTTGTAGCATATCTACGGTTCTAAACATGGCCACTGATACCAAGCACTTCATTCGTACTTCATGTCTCTTGATTTGGTCAGTTTATTATACTTTGTCTTCATTGTTATCATTGATGTAGACCAACACTGACAAAATAGTCTGGAATTCTAATCACTCATTTTTTATAGGTTTTGAATCACGTTTCATATACCTAGATCTAAAAATTCCTTACATCTTTGTTTAAAAACATATCAGTCGTAAGATATCCAAATTTATGCATGACTCGACGTGTAGGAACTGCTTCGGGTCCACCTGTAATGCAAATGGATCAGGAGCTAAATCGATTTGTGGTAGCTAGATCACTAAAACGTTTATTGACAATTTTGTTTGACTTGATCGACTAACCAAAGACTCAGGATGTACTGGTATAACTAGGTTCGTGGCAAAATAGCTTAATATATTTGAGACTTATTAATCGCGTTTATTAAGTTGTATCTTAACTTTTAGAATGAAGTTATGAGATTAGCTAGCTGTATTTCTTTAGATGAAGTACACTGTGATCTGCTTCATTGTATATTTTTGAAAATCAGATGAGTTGTGGGAGGGTGGTCACACTACCATTTAGTAATATTAAAACTAACATCAACGGTTCATCTACCTACTACACATAAACCACTTGCCAATAAGGTTCTTCTTTTTGTTGCTATAGCTCAGGTCACATTGTCCTTGCTGATTTTGGTTCCTGTTTAAAACTTGGCGAAAATGGACTAGTGAAGAACAACACAGCCGTCGGTACACCAGACTATATATCACCAGAAATTTTGCGGGCTTCTGAAGATGGCCATGGGACTTATGGTGTTGAATGTGATTACTGGTCTCTCGGAGTTGTGATGTATGAAATGCTCTTCGGCGAAACGCCTTTCTACAGTGAAAATCTGATCGAAACTTATAGTCACATTATGAACTTTGAGGTAAATCAAATTCCGCAAATTTCAAACTGAATTTATGACCAAATGCATCATAGACACAAGTACTAACCTTTAAAAAAATTACTTTATGAGAAAGTGGGTAGTTGATAATTAGTATTAGTCAACAACATCTTTGATATATGCCTCAAATGCGACTTATCGATTAAAGACCAAATTTAAGCATTAAGGGTGTTCACTTTCATTCTTATTTAACTTTACCTTGAATATTCTTCCAGAGATAACAGTCATCTGACTTTTTAAGATTTGATCTCATCAGGAGAACCACTTGTTCACCTGGAATACACAAAAGACATTTATGTTTGGTGAAGACGCCGACAAAGTGCAGTCTTCTGATCGCCTTCATCAACAATGCAAACATGTTCGGAATACGTTTCTCTCCCTCTAAAGCAAAATATTGCTTCATGACTGGTCTGCGTCAACTCCTGAACTAATGATAAGGAGTAAAGTAGTTGAGTGCATCAACCACTCCACTTATTTTAGAAGTCTCATCCTCGAGTGAGTTGGTGTCTGACTAAATCTCTGTATGGATTCAGAATACTGGGATGGCGTTTGCCAACTTCCATTACTTGTAATGTAAACCATGTAATGTCCACCTACCAACGAAAGTTTGAATATACTGATCAACAGTTCATTCTATACCACTGTATGTTAGTGGAACATAATCTTTAAAAACAAAAGACATGTATATTGTGCAGGATTTCTGGTGATTCTCTATACCCATATTATATTGGAAAGATGATCAATCTAAATTTTGCATATTGGTTAAGATGACTACGATTAAATCAATTCTTAACTCATTCTTTAAGTTAGATTACTCAGTGTAAATTCTATCCGTTAACTTTTAGTGTAGTTTTAGTTGCAATTAGTTATTTGATGTTCTACACACTTTTCTTTGTATTGACTACTTGATTGTGATTTTGTGTTCAGCGATAATTACTCAGTTGATAAGATTTTGTAATTTATAATCGTTTGATTGATTTGTAAATCAACGTGAATGTAATTTTGTTTCTTCTCATCGGGTCTTGATCACATAAGAACAACCCACTAGTCGGCGCAAAAAATGATTAGTGTAGAAGTAGTCTCGTCTATCGTAATCAATTCAATGTCGCAAAATAAACAGTTTTCGCAGCTACCTATCAGATGTTTCGATCATAGATATCTTCAAAGTATTGCTCATATGTTACGACCATTGAGTGAGCAGTGCTATCGTTATACACAGAGTACTGGGTAAGGATGGCAAATCGGTTGATGTAGTGAATCGTCGTCTGCTAAGGTGGTTTGAACATGTATTACGTATGCCGAACTAAAACGTGGCATCCGTCTATAAAGTCAGCTGTGTTGGCATATAAAGACTACCTGTCTGGAGTCTGCACAACAGCTGTGACTAGTGGTTATAGACGTTTGGTTACAGAGCTCAGGATCGGTCTCAATGACAGCTGCACTCAATTTTATTTCTCTCTTAGATCTTGCACCTCGAAATCTTATGCTGTCCTTTTCTATATCTAATCGCATCACACTGCTAATACAGTGTGGCAACCGATGATGAGGTTTTGTTTGTTGACTAAATGTAGTCTTTTGGACACTTCGAGAAACAATGCAGGTGTGTTTTGGGTGTAGTTTTCTCTCCCTAAGTGCAAAATGTTACTTCGAGAGTGGTCTGAATCGATCTAATAGTAGAGAGCAAAGTAGTTTTTATCACCTTTTGCATGAATACTCGGCTTACTAGGTACTTCATATATGTGGGTATTTTAAAATTATAAAGTCGTTATCTATTTTTAGAAACATTTTACCATTCCGACTGATTGTGTAAAAATTTCCGAATCAGCATGTGACCTAATACGACATCTAATTTGTGACCGGAAACGAAGATTTGGTCGAAATGGAATAGATGAGTTGAAGGGCCATGCTTTTTTTAATGGCATAGATTGGGAACACATTCATGAACGTAAGTTATATGTACCTAAAATATTTTTTCAAGTTGAATAAATATACTGTTGACAATTCAGTTGTTCTGGACAATACACAATATCTGTCTACAAAAAGCACTTTTGACAGTAACACTTTATATAGTTACGGTAAAATATAAAACGACTTAGAAATCTAAAATACCGGAACTGGTATTAACATTATTTACTTTCCTGAGATTATTCATGTAGATACCTTCATCTGGTGCTATTTCATGGTTTTATTGATACTTTTAGCCATATTGTTTGTATTCTGACCTTCCTTAATTAGTTGTGCTTACATTTCTTGCTAAGTACATTTGTCTGGTTATCTCTAAGACATGCATCTCTTGAATCGTGGGTGAATTTTATCAATGAAATAAGACGTAATGGTGGCACGTATGTTGTGTACATTTTTTGGAAACATACGTAGATTATTAGAATTCGTTCATATTTAATTTCTGCAACACTTCTGCTATCTTGATGTGGTGGTTTGAATTGCCTATCGTGATAAACCAACCGGGTTATGCTGGCTGGAACAATCGTTCCTCAAGGTCCTACCACTCCAGGCAGGTCGGTTGAAGAACGGTAAGATCAAAAAACAGCAAACCCAAGGTCCAAGTGCGAAGTCATAATGTTTGCTGTACAGAAGTAGTAAGGTGTTCCCCTTAGACAACCAGTATAACAACGATGCTACCTTCCCGCAAAGGAAGGGTGGGGTTAGAAATGGTCGACCTTAAAATTACACACCTCACCTTATTCGCAGATATCCGTTTTCGGTGATAAGGTCTCAACAAGTACGGAGCTAACACAAAAACTACTCACAAAAAGGTCGTGTGTGACCGACTTCAGGCAGTTGTCTTTTGGGCACTGCGGTCACGCTCTCAGGTCACTTAGATCAACTCTAACTGAATTTCCTTTTCAGGTACCTCTAGAAGAACCCTTCGACGGTGTGGGGAACCGGAAAGTGATAAACGTTCTCAACACCTCCAACAGCACTCAAGACCATTCATAATCCATTCCTGTCTAATTTAGGTTGAAATGGATCATCATTTTCACCGAATTATATTCACGTGCAAGATGTACTTGTTTTGAATGAATAGTCATCTGTGATCACAAATTTCGGGTTTAGGAACAAATGATTTGCTAGATTATCTTGATATCGGGACCCATCCGCCACCAATATCAAAATTAGTGTTGTAGGCCGCATAATAATACATCACTTACTTACGCCTGTTACTCCCAATGGAGCATAGGCCGCCGACCAGCATTCTCTAACCTACTCTGTCCTGGACCTTCCTTCCTTGTTCGATCCAATTGTTCATTCTCCTCATGTCTATCCATTTCTCGGCCTAATGTGTTCTTTGATCTTCCTCTCCTCCTTCGGCCTTGAGGATTCCATGTGAGGGCTTTGTGATGCAGTTGGGTGCTTTCCTCACTGTGTCCTATCCACTTCCAGTGCTTCTTCCTAATTTCTTCCTCCACTGGGATCTGGTTTGTTCTCTCTCACAGTAGGTTGCTGCTGATAATGTCTGGCCAACGGACCCGAAGTATTTTGCGTAGACAACTGTTAATAAACACTTGTATTTTCTGGATGATGGCTTTCGTAGTTCTCCAGGTTTCCGCCCCATACAGTAGAACTGTCTTGACATTTGTATTGAAAATCCTGACCTTGGTGTTGGTTGACAGACAGTTGTTTTGAGTTCTAGATCTTCTTCAGTTGTAAATGTGCTGTTCTTACTTTCCGGTCCACGACTTCACATCTGCATCAGATCTACCGTGCTCGTCAATGATGCTGCTCACATATGTAAAGGTTTTTACATATTCCAAAGCTTCTCCATCAATTTTGATTTGATTGTTGCATGCTGTTGTATCGGAGAATCTTGCTTTTCCCTTTGTGTATGTTGATACCTACTGCTGCTGCACTGGTCGTCTTTTCCTGCATTTGTTGTTGTGTGTGCGATAGAAGAGCCAGATCATCTGCGAAGTCTAGATCGTCCAACTGCATCCTAGCTGTCCACTGTATTCCATGCTTCCCCCCAAATGTTGACGTCTTTATGAATCTATCGATCACCAGGAGAAAGAGAAAGGGTGAGAGTAAGCAACCTTGCCTGACACCGGTTTTTACGTCGAACAAGTTTGTCAGCTGTCCTCCATGCACGATTTTGCAGTTTAATCCATCATAGGAATTCTGTATGATGTTGACTATCTTCTCAGGCACGCCGTAGTGTCGAAGAAGCTTCCATAGTGTTGTTCTGTCCACGCTATCAAATGCTTTTTCGTAGTTAATGAAGTTGATGTAGAGTGATGAATTCCATCCAATTGATTGTTTCACAATGATCCGTAGTGTTGCGTTTTGGTCTGTACACGATTGATCCTTACGGAATCGAGCCTGTTGGTCTCGAGGTTGGGCATCTACGGAGTCCTTCATTCTGTTTAACAATACCCTGTTGAAGACTTTTCCTGGTATTCAGAGAAGAGTGATGCCCCTGTAGTTATCACAGTTGCTGAGATCGCCTTTCTTCGGTATTTTGATCAGAAGTCTTTCTTTCCAGTCTGTTGGTACTTGCTCTTCATCCCAAATCTTGCTGAACAGAATGTGGAGTATCTTTGCAGTATAATAATATATTAGTATTCACAAATCACCAGTCATTCTTCAAACCTCAGTCACTGCAAATCCTAATGGTTACCGAATACCTAACAAAAGCGTAACACAGATCAATGAGTTAACCAACTTTGTAAAACGACTATGGACTCATTCAACACATATTGAATTAGATAACTATCTCATATTTGAGAAATGTTAGGCTTTTATGTTTCTTAGTAAATATAGTGTGTAGGTTTTAGTGCTATAATATCACGATATTTTATTTGACTGCTCCGTCTGTTTTACTTGGTGTTGACATCAATAATGGATTGGCTACATCCAGCTGATGAGTCTCAAACAAGATGAAACTCGTGCCCTGGACCCACTGTCAGCCACTATCCAACTCTGACTAAAATGTTAGTGACTTAATAATCTTAATTTAGAGGCAGTCCGTACAAAATTCACATATACCAAAAGAGACTGACGAATTTCAGTCCATCACATCGACGTGGAGAATCAAACAACCAGTAGGGTCATTAGTACGTTTAGCAGACTTTTTGAAGGTCAAATGTAGTTGCTAGAACGTTAATACTACATGAATTATACTTGGAATGTAATGAAACCAACGATTGTTTTTTTTTAAATATTCACCTTAGAAAATCCTCCGTACATTCCCGAAGTCACCAGTCCAGACGACACTTCCAATTTTGATATTGAACAATCTTCTCGAAATCACGTAAGTCAATATAATTTATGTGGTTGACATTTGATGGATGACTAGTGCAGAACAATACAATAAGTTTATCTTAAGCTTTGTAATTGAATCCTTTAAGTGGCGAATATCCTTTGCTGTCTGTAATTATCGACTAATAAGTTGTGTTGAGATTTATATTAGCTAATAAGGTTACTTCATGTAAAATATGAAATAACCATCTGTTTTTTCGTTTATTAACACCGAATGTCGTGTTTACACTCAATCTTGATGCTTTGTAGCTGTAATTGATTGTTTTTCGATGTAAATTTCAGGCAGCTGTAGCGATCACTGGTAGCAAATTATTTATTGCTTTTATACAATATTCATTTCAATATAGATAGTCATTCTATTTTATATGGTAGTATAAACTAGTGGACACTGACCCGATTCAGCTATCATTTCACGGTCGGTTAACCAATCATCATCAATGTAGGATCTGGTACGGGTGTGCGGCAATCTGGGTTGATACACGTTACTTCACTACAGTCAGAACAAATTCAAAAAGATGATCATCATAGGGTGAGAAATAATATCGAAAGTCATCCATGGTGTCATTTAATAAACTATCTACGCGCGATATGGAAGCCGATGAGATCAAAACGTGTTCAAGCCACTGATATTCTAAGTTTTATGATAGTAACACATATTAACTTAACTTCGTCAGTGTCTAAACAAATATTGCCGTTCTCCGACTTACATAAGTGAACTCTCTATATTCACTGACTGTGTTTAACTTACAGAGACTTACTCCTCACTTTTGTGAAAAGATCCCTTACAAGAGGCTGTAAACCTGTGGTCGTATAAAAATATCTTGAGACAAAATAGACCTTTCCAACCCTCAGTTGTGCCAGGTCACTTTAAAACCTTGTACTTATGGCTTCACATGTTAGTCGGTTCGTTAAGTAAACATCGTGGATTATCAGCGTCCCTAATTTTGTCGATGGTCGAAACATTCAGGATGAGAGAACTTCCAAGTAATCGTAGTTCATCAGTTGCTTTCTAAAGAGAGATCCTTTAATATTATTATCTATCATTGTGTAAGTTGGTAGATTTAATGGTTTCTTTGTATCCTTCAAACATTCCAAATTGAAGTGAGAGGTGACAAGTAGCTAGATGGTAGCACAGTCAGTTGTAGATACCTTACCTTTAAATTTAATATATGATATATTTGACTGCAGAAGTCACTTCTTTTTAAACTTATTGTTTTATACCGTATTTCTCTATTGGCCATGTTTATTTTAAGAAAATGATCCCTATTCGACTTTTTGGGACTTAATCAGTCTGTCAATTAATTTTAGGAAGGGCCACCACTTGGACCGATTTTTCGAGGATGTCAGGTTGCATGTATTGGATTTACATTCACAAACAACTCACCACTGAATGAATTGGGTCCTACACATTATAGAATGACATCAAAAGATAAATCGGAATGTCCTGAGGAAATTTCTAAACCTAAAAGTTCTGATGCACATGTTTTAAATGATATTAGTCTACCATCCGATCATAGTGAAATATTAAACCCCTCAAATGCATCGAAGTTCAGTAGTGAGACACATGAACCAGCTTTGATTGAAGTAATTGAAGGTTTGAGGACAAAATGCGAAAATTATGAAGTAAGTGTACACGTAATTTCATTTCATGATACTATGTATATATCGCTCCTTTCTTTGCATGCAAAACATGTTGCATATAATAACTCTTATACTAGATTTATTTTCAAATGTCTGCATACCACAACGCTAATGTCAACAACTATTAATCAGTGTACATCTTTTGGTTCATAGATTTTATGTAGATAAACGCATATACTATGTTGAAATTCAGTCTCTAAATTAGTTTAATCTCAAATATTACTTTGATAATATTTTGTATTGTAAATATATTAATTACTAAGAATTTTTGAAGGTATTTCATTCAACCTAGTTATATGGAAATAATCACTTGTTCACCTTACAATTCTTTCAAACATTTTCGGATGTGATATTTTATAGCACACATACTTCTGGATTTCACCCTCATATGTGTTAATAAATAAATAATACTGATAGGGCTAAACAGTTTTGTGTAAACTATCATGCTGAGATTACATTTGTTCAGAAAGGTGGTACAATAAGTTCTCATGTCCTCAAAACATATACATTTTTAGTTCCGGCTATTCTTATTTTATCAAACTACTGATATTTGCAACTTTCGAACTAATGTCAAATGCCTGTGATTTTTTATTTTTGCCTAAGTATACAAGTCACAAAAAATTCCTAAACTCTCTGAATAGGGGATGACTGACATTTCTTCTTCTTTCTTCCTCTTCTTCTTCTTCTTCTTCCTCTTCCTCTTCCCCTTCTTCTTTGTTATTATTATTATTATTAGTTAGAGGCATTACAAACAAAATTTCTGGTCTTAGTATGTTATGTTCTGAATGTTTTTGAAAAAAATACTCAGTCTCAAATATATATTACCATCTACCTGTACATTATATCGATTCACTTATCTAACCATATTGGAAAATACTTACCTTCTTATCACTTGAAAAATCACTTTCTGTAGTTACTTACTGTATGAGTAATCGTTATAACTTGTTAATCTAGTTAATCTTTTATATTTAAGATGATAATAGATTTCTGATCTCCGTAGTATGTATAATGCTGACAACAATTATCTTAGCTTGTGGTATTCAAGCGAAGCAATAGCTCTATACTTCCTATGCGTCTCCACACATCTCTAAATCAAATTAAAACAAAAGTAACCATCAGTTTGTGAAATTGTGATCGAGCAAACTGGTCATTTTATTATTGATCTCCAGGTTAAAATACTAAACGTTTATATGTACAATGGCACTGATCAGTCAAATCTTGATCGTCATAATAAATGAAAGAATAAATTTTCATGTGATAAAATTCCAGAAACAAGTTTCATTATTATAGCAACTCGGATACCAGTTTTCATGATTATTCGGCACCCTATTGGATATAATTTGTAATCCCGAAAACACAAGTCTAATCGAGTTTATATAGACCAAGTTTTTAGGTCTTTTTGTTCATGGAATAAAATTATATCGATATGTTCTGCAACTTAATCGAAAGACCTATCCGACTGATCACACAGTGGGGGTCTTTTAATAGTGCTTAATTCTTAGAAACCTACATTATTGATATTATTACCGTAGGCTCTTGATTATATGAAGTGAAGTTGTCGATTGCATTGATTACCACGTTTTTCTTTGGGATCTTATTCTTGACGGTTTATTGGCTGCTGCAATCATGACAAGTAGAAATAGACCGTCTGGTTATTTCCAGACTAAGTTGATTCTGTATTACTTTACAGATTCAAACATGGTCATTGGGTTCAGAGTTTATGAGCGGTTGCTAGTGTTTGACACTAACTAATGTGGTTGGAATATAGATTACATACACTGTGACTACCTACTCTCGAGTTTTACTCTGGTTAGTACAAGTCAACAGTGAAAATGTTACCCGCGTTAGAATCTATGAGGAAGCCGTTCTCTATGGTTTTGGACTTTATTTCATGAATGCAATTCGACACTAGTTACCCGGTTACACCCTTTGGTTTCCCGACGGATCATAAACACCGTATCATCGATTCTCATACTTTCCATTCTTACATGCTTATTTCAACTTTTCTGTCGTTCTTTTCTTACTATCGATGTTATATAATGCATGTTATTAATGAATGTATTTATGTTGTCTGTTTTCCAGATGCAAATAACGGAATTAAAAGGCACGTTGTCGTGTTATCAGGAATCCAAGGGTGATCAAGTATCTGTAAAGTCGGAGTCGGACCCCACAACAATTAATTTGGAAAAGCAAGATGTGTCATCAGGTGATACTTCAACCATTAATAAGATAACACGACAAGTCGAAATTTTGTCTCAGAAACTTAAAGAATCAGAAGCCCAGAATCAACTGATTTCAGCTACTGTAGATCTGCTTAGAAATGAGTAAGCCTTTCGATGTATATTTCTACCAAAAAGTAGTATTTTTGTCCAACTATTTACAGTCGTCTTAGCTGTGATTTATGATTTGTAATAATTTATCAATATACTTACTGATTTTCAACAGTTATCAGGAACGACTGACAGTATTCACACTGTGACATTATGTCGGAAGTTTTCTCCACTATGTATCACTGACAATAATGGTAGCGTGTACAAATGTATCCTTTTGAAGTGAGACGGTGCCTTACTGTTTAAAAAAATTCGCCATGCAGCCATTAGGTTGAGCAACAATGCAAGCATGTTCGGAATACGTTTCTCTCCCTCTAAAGCAAAATATTGCTTCATGACTGGTCTGCGTCAACTCCTGAAACGGGTAAGGATGGCAAATCAATTGATGAAGTAGTGAAACTTCATCAGTTGAGATGGCTGGGACACGTGTTACGTATGCCCTACGACCGACTGCCTCGACGTGCTATGTTCAGTGGTATAGGAGTAGGTTGGAAGAAAGCTAGGGGCGGCCAAACCAAAACATGGCACAAATCCATGAAGTCACTGACAAGTGGACTGAGTCATATTGGTAGGTGTAGACTACCTGGTTGGGGACCGCGAGATGACAGCAACCGATGGTTAGAGACCCTGAATGACATGGCTCAAAATCGTTTGCAATGGCGCAGGTGCATCCACTCTCTGTGTTCTCCCAAACTCTAATCTTCTGAATTCTTCATGTCCCTTTTTTCCTCTTTCCAAATTTCTTTCACTGTATTATACTCTTTAAATAACATCTCCAAACCCTAATCTTCCCGATTACTGCTTATACTCTTATTACCTCTATCACTACGGGATTTGAATCGACAAGTCCATCTCTGTGCTAATGTGGTGTGGCAACTCGAACTGATGTACGTACGAACGAAGTTCTACGTTGTTACTGACTGACTGACCTGAACTAATGATAAGGAGTAAAGTAGTTGAGTGCATCAACCGCTCCACTTATTTTAGAAGTCTCATCCTCGAGTGAGTTGGTGTCTGACTAAATCTCTGTATGGATTCAGAATACTGGGATGGCGTTTGCCAACTTCCATTACTTGTAATGTAAACCATGTAATGTCCACCTACCAACGAAAGTTTGAATATACTGATCAACAGTTCATTCTATACCACTGTATGTCAGTGGAACACAATATTTAAAAGTAGCAGACATACGCAGGCTGCAGGTTATTGATCTTACATATTTTCGAATCAAGCAAGTAGTCAATGAGATCTAGCGTGGGATACTTAGGGTGGCAAATTAGTTGATGAGGTTATGAATATTCATCGATTGACGTGGTTACGACATGAGTTACGTCTGCCCAATTGCCGCCTATCTCTACTGGCGATGTTTGTTGGTGTATGAGTAGGCTCAAAGAAAGCTGAGAATAGCAGAAGTAAATGGCGTCAGCCCACGAATCTATTGTCTGTTGGTTTGAGCCATGGGTGTAGAGGCAGATTACGTAATTGGGATCCCCGAGATGACTTAAGACTAAATAAAATGGTATACCTCAATCATTCTTAGTGGTACAGGTGCATTTACTATTTATCATCTAGGTCTTGAATCCCAGTCTTTTTGAACTCTATTGTTGTTGTTGCTTGGTCTTTCTTATTGTCGTTGCTACTAAATTGTTCCGATCCTCTTTTTACTATTTATCTTGTTAATTTTATCTCGTCATCGTGGTATGGGATCTTCGGTCAATGCACTTGTGTGCTAGACTCTCCGTTGGTAATGACCGACTGATTAATTAAGTTATTAATTCGAATTACGCTCAGCCTACTTGTGTTCCTGTCATCTGGGGTGATGATGCAGTTTTACACATTGTGTTTTTCAGAGCCGAATATGTAATCTTGTTTTATTATTACTAAGTTATTCTGAATTGACATGTTTTAGAAGACTTATAAGATAATCTTATAAAATGAATTAGCTAAGTGCTGATATTCCTTTGCCTTTAAAAACTTTGTTGGTGTGACATCGTCATCTTATGAGCATAAATGAAAAGTAATATTGTTTTCCATAGTACACGTATATATAGTATAGTATAGAATTATTATTAGTATTTCAATTTTTAAGAAGTTTTGCCCGAAATAAATTTATAGGAGCATACATCTAATTGACTTTTACATCACTAAAACTTTTCTAGCACTAAATGACTGACAATATATCACCATTCGTTTTTGAAAGTAAAACAAAGATCACTTGAGTTTCTCTTGAGAGCATTTATTCTTAGAAGCTATCAACGATTACAGACACATTTCCTTAATTCATAACTGCTATCAATACTTGTCAGGTGTTTCAGTATGGGCGTTTTTTGTGCGTTAGAAGTGTTCTTTTGGCTTGTATATTTCATGTAATTTGCCAAGCTTTTGATTACTTCTCATTTTCGTTTCACTTGATCAATATTTCGTTTTAGCCGTTATGTAACGAGGGAAAATATCTCATTTTTTATTTCATTTGTAGTTGCCGTTTTTGCCTTCAGTTCAGAACCATTCATACAACAGACATAAGTGATACTTAGTTTTAACATAATTATAGCTTTTACCTAATGTATTATCATCTTACGTTGACAAAGTTATTTTGTTCCTATAATTACCAAGTGATTTTATCAACTCCTCCGTTTCCTTCAATAATTTTGTCCACAATTTTCTGTGTGGTTAATTGTCTAAGCATTATGTTCCTGTATAAAGTGACCTTTTGTGGTTATCGAGATTTGTTATTTAGTTTATCGCAAATGACTCCTACACCAATCGACTAGTTTTAGTGACCAACTTTCAGTCCTTAGTTGTGATCAAATTTTGTGGGGCAAATTTATCATATAGCCAATGCCTTTAAGTAAGTGAACATCACTATACGCTCTATTTAATTTTGATTGGACGGTGGCAGCTGCCAGACAACTCTTCATTTTAATAAAACGGAGCTATCTATTATGTTCCTAGATCAAATTCAGTTGTCTACGCTTCTTAAAGCTTGCTCAGCTAGTTATTCAGAATAAGGAGACGAAGTGTCTCGGGGACAAAAGCTGTATAGTGATGTACACAGTTGGCGTATGTATACAAGTTAATGGACTGGTGCAGACAGGAATATATGCTCAGAGTCACCTTGGCTTGGTGAATAATTCTCCTATCACTAATAGTTCCCAAAACTTGCGTTTCACTCAGTATGTAATCTTGTGATCGCATGTAACCTGTTCATACTTTTTCAGCATAACTTTATCAGAGTGGTGATTCGAAAGGTGTTAGATTGGATGTTGCTGTTCTATGTGTTTATTTCAGATTGAGTCTTCACCTATTTATAGGCTTTCTTTTTCCGAATGGGCATGATTTTATCATTAAAACACTGGTTCGAAAGCATTATTGGATATGTACTTAAGTTGCTAACAAAACCTAATGACATACATTCACTAAATTTTTTTCTTATGTAAATGAACTTCTCAACATATTTGCCGCCGATTTTAGACTCTCAGAACAACATGAGCTACGAGAAAAGTTACAGTCTGAAGTACGGGCATTCGAAGAAGAAAATGAAACACTATGTAAGCGTGCCGCAGATGCTCAGTTAGCTATCAGATTGTTGGAGTCAGAGCATAGTGAGGTAAGTATTTTACATGTATATTTGTTTGAGTTACTTTGTAAAATAAATTTTCAAATGGTTTTATCATGTTTGCTATAATATGTAACTATAAAATCAAACCAGTTGTGCACGTTTATCTGATTATGGTTCTATCGACTCACCTTCATATAAGCTTTATTAATTGTAATTCATTAAGTAGGGGTATTTATTTCTTGCGGTTATAACATTTATGTTGGGACTGACTAAAGTTAGTAATATTTTTCCGCATTAACTTATTTCTAACATCTTGAACAATCATACCTACAAATCCTTAATCAGGTAACCACTTCTCAGCATTGCGCTTTCCAACCTTCCTTATCAATGAAGCATTTATGTAGGTAAATAAATTATAATCGTTACTTCTTAACTCGAACTATCTGCCAAGTTTAATTTCGACAGCTGTCATAATTTTGGAATGTGGGAATACTACTAGTATGTTATCACTTTGCACGCGTCCAGTAAATTACAAAGTTACTCTTACTTTCGACACATAAACATAGTTAACATATGATTTGATGTCTTCAAAATTTTATTTTAAGAAAAGAATAATTCAATTGTAATTAGAATTTTCGTGCATTTTTCTCACTGAGCAGTTACTTGCTGAAGTATGCTAACTATTTTCTCATGCTCTCGTGAATAGCTCCTTTTTTCTTACCTAAGCTCCTAGTACGATAGTTACATCTAACTGCATTTGTTATATTAAAAAACCTAATTAGTTTATTGTTATTCCTGTACAAGTCAACTTAAACAATATCTCCAAAAAGAGCAAATAATGTAAGTAAACTGCTGTATTACTGTATCAGTGTACTAGTTCAAATATTTTTCGTAAAAGAAATGTATATACTCATAAATAAGCAAAGTGTTACAAAGTTTTTAAGAATTAGGAACTTGATATACTTAGAGTAATATATTCATTCTTCGGTTCTTAATGTTTATACAAATTTAAACTTCGCACGATGTTGCGTTGACTAAAAATGATTTATTTGCTATCGATAACACCAATAAAAAGTAAATCAATCAAACTCATGAAAAGTACTAAAATCTCGTAAATAATTTATCTTAACAGGAAGCTAATTAGTTTTGAAGTGATTTACTACCACATCATTCATCATCTCTAACTACTTGTTTATAATTTTGATTCATTTACTGACTTGGTTATAGTTTTTAAGTTTAATCTTCATATTACATCTACTTTTGTATATTTTGATTTATGTACTAATCAGTTGTTATCCGAGTTAGCTCGATTACGTGGAGAATTGGCTTCACATCGTGAATATGATAATCATACTGTATTGAATGATGTACGTGATTTACTGTATAAAAATGAATCTAGAAGCCTAGAAAACGGGATAAAATGTCACAATATCTCCATATCATCGTCTTCTTCGTCATCATCAACCAATCTAGTCAATGGAACACAACATTCACATATTAACAACCATTCATCAGATTCTGATCTACGGGAACGTTTGTATGAAAGTGAAACCAAGCTAAAACGGGTCATGGAAAACCTGATAGTAGTGAGACATGAAGCACAAAGCTTGAAATTAGGCTGGGAGTCAGAACAAAAAGAATGGATGAAAGAACGTGAGTTGTTAGAAGAGAAGATTAAGATAGCCGTTGATCAAAAGGTAACTGATATTTGAGTCAATAATCACAATGAAATAGAATAAGTCTCTACACATAATAGGTAAAAGTACAAGTTGATAGTAGGAGGACAGGTGAACTGATAATAGTAAGAATAATACAATGGAATAACAAGTCTTATCAATAGTTAAACGTTGGAAATAGAAGGTCAAACAAACATGGGTAAATAGACTAGGAATAGTAGTCACAAAGCATTAAAATCATTACGTAATAAGATGTGTGTAAATAATTAGCTAATGAAGAATACAAAGAGGCGGACAATTACAAACAAATAATGGATGTGGAAATAAGGTTAATGATAACAAAATAGAATAAAATAAATAATGGTAATAATGAAATTTAAAAAAATTCGTTAGTTAAGTTATAACTGGCCATGGAAAGGATAGGGGGTTACGTATTTCTTCTGTACACATGAATTGGGGTTATATGTACGAATTCCAATGTCTTCAGCTATATGTAGGAGGCAGGAACGAACTCCGCTGGGGAATGATGGAGGTATACGATAGATAACACGAAATGACTTCGATTTATCTACAATATGACCGCTATCAATGAGATGTGCCAAGATAGAACTGCGAATAGATTTTATCTGGCCCTTTATGTACCAAGTTGGTAGATGTTCACTCATTCGTTGGTTAAGTTGCCTGGTAGTACAGGGCGTACACAATTATACGATAAAAATAAACGTTTAGTATTGGTCCTTAAAAGGATCCCAAAGTTACCATTCATTGTTTCTCGGACCTAACATAAACAACTTTTAGTGAACGTAATTTTGTATAGGTGAAAATCTTTATTCTAGAGAAAGAAAAAAGTCTGTACTTAGTCAATAAAGGATTTCTTTTATGCATTAGAAAGTAGAAACCATTTTCAAAATGCAAGAGGGGTTCTCTATTACATGTCGTATATTCTTGTCTTAAAGGTTTAACATGAAATATCACTGTTTTTCAATATTCTTTCTTTCTACTTTCACAAGACTATTGCGTTAGAAGATGAGTTGACCACACTTAAAGAGAATAATGCTGAGCTTGAAAATAATATAGCTAATTGGGAACGCCATTTATTCGAGTTAAATCAGTGGGTTGATGATGAACGTGAAGCTAAAGAAAAACTGCATGTAAGTGTTGTGTTTATATTTACTGTTGTAATGTTTCGAGTTGTCACATTTTTACTATAACTTCCTAACGTAAACTCAGTATTTGTTAAATTATGTTCAGTACCTTGTTAAAAGTATATTAGAAAAATGCTTGTTTTCCTGTTTTGTGGTCTTCACACTAAACCCCTACCCTTTATACTGTAATCACTGAGGCGCATATAATGGCTTCGTCAGACTACAACGACGTTTCTTGTCGTTAGCTTTTGTTTTTGTATTATTTGCTCCTCCTTACCTTGTGTAAGTGAGGCATATGAATATGAGTTGATTAATATGTAACATTATATTATCGTATTTCTTAACGAATCCTTTTGTAGGTAAAATGATTGTCATTATCTAACAATACTAGTGATACTATCAGTTGAAGTTATGGTTCAAATCAAGCTGATGCTTCTAGATGATAACTAATCATTAAATCATTTTTAATGACATATATCCTTGCATGCTACACCTGCAACTTTCATCTTAGGCTACTACTTTTATATTAGGTGACAGTTTATTAGTACTAAATATTTCTAGTTATTATTCATATGTTGTTATAAAGAGTATTGTTCATTGGATGTATTCACTTCATGTTTTGCCTGCATAGAATTTCACAATGCGTTTAGTGTCTGAATTGGATACACTTCGTGCTTCAGGTTTGGTACAAGATTATAATCAGAATGGTGTGTGCCCGAATGGTTATCAATCATCATGGCGTCCAAACGATGTGAATTCTTTAGCTTATGACAGTCCTGCACAAAGTGTTATTGTTGAGAACACACTGGACTGGCGTCAACGTAAATCTACTAAGTTAAATAAAATGGAAAGATGGAGTCATGAGGTAGCTTTAAATAATGAAGTAAAAGCGAGGGAACAAGCAGAACTCCGTCTACAAGAAGTTGAGGCTCGTTTGAAAGAGATGTATGAGTAAGTGATGCACTGTTTTCTCTAGTTTTAAAAAAATATATAACATGATCTTTTTGTATGCCGGATACATTCCGTTTTATTCTAGTTCAATGGAATCTCATGACTCGTCTTAGAGTCTAACCGTTCGTATCAACTTCGTTTTACGTCATTTCAGTGAATATCCAGATATTAATACTTTAGATTTAATGTTCAATTGAATTGATAACTTCATTACAAATTGATTTACTTAGGTTAAACGAAAATGATGAGTAAACGCGAACATGTTTCATTTTCGAAATCAGTTCCCAATTTATCTCTGACATGAGACATTCTAATATTTACATTATCATCATAGGAACGACAAGGTGTATACAATGAATACGGTGATTCGCTTTCGTAAAATCCTCTTATTTATCACTATTTACTTTATTCATACTCTACTAGCATATTATTTTGTTTCTCTTGTTTGTTCATGGTCTATTTCGCAGTATTAAGTAGGTGTGGTATTTTTAACATGACAAATTACTGTATCAATGTTCCTTTTCTTAATTTTTGGTATCCTATCGATCAGCAAATATGAATAATTGTGTCATAAATTACTCATCGATTTTACAAACTAATTCATTTATTAAATGTCAATATACAATTTATATTTCTTTCTTATCACGTAACGTTTCAATACTTCAACTACCGAAGAATAAGCCCCTCATCTCAGTGTATATGTATTTGTAGTTTTAGCCTTTCCTTTTTTTTTACAAATCTACATTCGACTATTTTTACTACTATTGTTTGTTTTACTGTTTGAACATGTTTCTGTTTACATGTGACAAATATTCATTTTGATAAGGTAATAGGTAGTAGTTGGCTTGTGCTGTTTAACACATGTTTTGTATGATTATATATATATATATATATATATATATATATGCAATTGTGTGTATGCATTTGTTTTTATTTAAGCTTATGTAAATATAGCTTAGTGATAAAATGAATCATGTGTGCATTGATTATTATAGTTCTTATTTATATTATGTTTTACTTATTTCATACTAGAGCTACTTTCGAGTTGTACTACTACTTAATGTCTCGCTTAATTTAAATAAAGTGAATAGATTTTTGTAACTATTCTATCATCCCATTAGTAAAATTGTGTGTTGTATATAGTTGGTTAATGCGTGTGTGTAGTTTAGATTGTTGGAATATCATTATGATCATTTGCGCGTCTATATATCAAATAGATGTTTCAGGTCATGTCCTTTTTAACTATGCAAGCGCATAATTGCTACACTTTGCTAAGTTTCTTTTTTACAATCGAGTAATCATCATTTCTGTCGACCGATTCATGTCCTCTGTCTTAGTTTTTCCATCGTTTAGAAAACTACCGTAATAGAGTTATGTTATATTTCCAATTGATGTTTCTTTCTTATTCTTGTTAGTGACTTTAGTTATGTGATTTGCTGTTTGTGTCCGTTCATTTTGCTTTTTACACATTTGTGAATTCGTTATCAGCTTTTTGTATTGCTTAAAAAAATTATTTATGTTAAACTTCTTGTTCGTCTACGATAAATTTTATTGTCTGTATCAAGAAATAATTCAAAATTTCGTGTTTATTTATGTTTTAAAATGATTTTTATGTCAAGTAGTGTTTTGAGCCTGAACAAATTGCTTCTGTTAGTAGACGTAAATTACTTGTATAATGATCAATTCGGAAGATATTTAACGAATAGAGGGTGTTTCTATGCGTGAGAAGCCAAATAAAATAGATAATATTACACGTTCTGAACATCTTTCCTCTTTAGTAATTTCATGTTCTTAATGGAGAATGATTCATTATCGTAGCTTATTTTCTTATTATTCTAATCAATGTTATCATCTAAAACATATAAAAGATTTTCCAGCTCAGATAACGTAAAATCACAAAATCTTTCCGGAATGCAAATCTAACGTTAAACTAATAAATATTTTCAGTATGGGTTTTGTGGAGATTTTTAGAAATTTCACTGGTTGAAATCATGAGTCAATTGAAGCTAGACCACTATGGAAAACCTGGAAGCATTGGACTGCCGTTTCGTCCTAGTATGGGACTCCTCAGCAGTGCGCATCCACGATTTCAACCAATAATAAATATTTAATAAGTTGCTTACTAAAAATATATTTCTTTTCTTCCTTACTCAGTTTCTTTTATTTTACATCTAAATAAATACCTCACCTCTTAGTAGTTGATTCACTTTAAAAACACTTTTTCCAACGATATCAACAACTGACATGTTATGCATATACAATTTTGGTAGCGACATGGCTATTGTTATTTCAGGGTTTAATTGTCGTCACACATCAGTAGGATTTTAAGATCTATATCGGCTAAAACTTAGTATGCTAACAATCCAGTACAAAATTTTTTACAAAGGACTAGTTTATTTCTCCTTGTTATCCATATAATAATGTAGAGTATCGTCTACAGTTACTTATTTTAAAATATAAAACAAAACTTTGTAAGTATTATTCGTTGTAAACTTCGTGTTTTTATTTCAATGGATTTTGTTTAGTCAAACTAATCAAAAAGATTTGAAAATTAAGGAACAAGATCGTATTATTGAACATCTCAATGCTCAATTACTTGAAGGTGAGTTTTACATCGAATTACGCTTAATTATTTTAATTCTATCCACATTCATTTTTATATTCAATGTTTATGCGTATGTATTTATCCCTCTTGGTTATTTTCTATATTTCTTTCATTTTCAATCGTAGTGTTATTAATTTGGAACTTGTTAAAAAACACCATAAATTGTCTCAAAATCGTTTACCTAAAAGTAGAAAAGTCTTTAACACTGATTGAAAAACTCATTTTTATTTTGGTTTAACATTAAAATTCTGTCATAAAAAATTGATTTGTTTGTTTTCTTTGATGACTGAAAAAGAAATCAGACTATTTTTGTTGAAGTTAAACATTATTCTGGTTTATTGACTGTCTATATTTTGACTAAGGGTGTAGGAACGGAATTAAATTACAAAACAAAACTGGGTCGATATAATTAGTTCAAGTGTTATTACTATTTCTATTTGATGTATGAAGATTACATCAAGTGTTATTAGTCAGATTGTTGAAAACCACTCAATTAGTAGTTTTCTATTTGTTATACTGACAAAATTATGCATTTCGTATATTCTACACTCAAGCTGAATTTTTAGGACAAATATCTAGTCTCGCGATGCTTTTACTGATTAAACTAATACTGATTTTATCCGATGTTTAGGTTTTTTATTAATTTATCCACTTACAGTCATTTAGACGATGATTTGTTTTTTTGGAGATCCCAACTTTCGATAATATTTTCACGTGGGTAGAATGCTATTCCAGGTTACAAAATTCTAGAATCTGTATAGTTTCGCTGACTCTAGATGAAACCGCTCGTAACCTGGCGCTTAGACTTTGACATAATTATTGAATGCCGATGATTTCTTATCGTATAATAAAAAGTCAGTATTTCAGCATGTCATTACCTAGAATATAAGAAAGTCGATACACCTAATTGAAGCACATTTTTATTTGTAACAACATTCACTGGAGAATTCCTAAAGTAATGATAACTAAGTAACTGATAATTTTTTTCAAATCCTACTCAATTTCTGTTTTTTCGTAACATAATGTTTGTTTGATCGTTTATATGTTATTTAACTAACAGTTTACCAATGTAAATAATCATTTTAATTTTTACCCAAATTCTTTCTACACAATTTCAGCCTCCAACCAGGCACGTTTATGTCGTATGAATAATGACGTAAGTTTAGCAATATACTATGATAACAATATGCTCGATGTATAGTGTTTTCGTTTCACCGGTAGTCTTTTATTTATAACAATGATTTTGTACACTAAGTTGACATACTTTATGGTAGTGAAACATGGCCGGTAAGAGTAGAGGATATTCATACGTTACTAGTATTTGATCATAGGTGTCTTCGAAACATTGCTCGTATATCCTAGGACCATCGAGTAAGTAACGCAGTTGTTAGGAAACGGGTACTATGTAAGGATGGCAAATCAATTGGTGAAGTGGTGAAACTTCATCAATTGAGATGGCTGGGACATGTGTTAAGTATGCCGAACGACCGACTACCTCGACGTACGATGTTCAATGGTATAGGAGTAGGTTGGAAGAAAGATAGGGGCGGCCAGACCAAAACATGGCACAAGTCCATGAAGTCACTGACATGTGGACTGAGTCATGTTGGTAGGTGTAGACTACCTGGTTGGGGACCGCGAGATGATAGCAACCGATGGTTAGAGACCTTGAATGACATGGCTCCAAATCTTTTGCAATGGCGTAGGTGCATTCGCTCTTTGTGTTCTCCCGAATTCTAATCTTCTGAATTCTTCATGTCCCTTATTTTCTTTCCAAATTTATTTCACTGGATTATACTCCTTGAATAACATCTTCAAACCCTAATGTTTCCGATTACTGCTTTTACTCTTACTACCTCTACCACTACGGAATTCGAGTCGACAATTGCATCTCTGTGCTAATGTGGTGTGGCAACTCGAACTGATGTACGTACGAACGAAGTTCTAATTTGTTACTGACTGACTGACATAAGAATACTTCATACAAAGTGAAATGACAATGTTGCAAAGATTTCCAATGATTACAGATTATTCAGTCCGAAAATCCTGGTGATTGTTTTAATTAATACTTGAGTTTGAAAAGATATAATTTCATGTCGTTGTTTATCTTATCAATTAGGTAAAACTGCTCATATAAATTGCTTCACATTTGTTAGTCATTGTGATATTACGAAGTATATAAGGATTTGAAAATTTGCTTTCATTCTTTTTTGTTGGTTGTTTGAATCTTCCCCTTGACGTTTAAGACTGCGATTGATCAATCTCCTATTAGTATATGTGGATCCTGCATGCACTGCTTCGATATTACCTTAAGTCACAAACATTATAATCAGAGATAAATGGTAGACTACAGTGCAATCTAGAACGAATATTTCGTGCAATTTGGGATTTATCAGCCAGATGTACCTGCATCTCGAAGTTGATTTTCACTCCAGGTGATGACTTCAATCCATCTCTGCTTATACTGTTTGTGACTTAAGGCGGGGTTGGAGGTATATCCAGCTAGTGAGTCCAAAATAGGACGAAACGTGTATCCTGGATTCCACTACTTAGCTCTATCTATCTCTGCCTATAATTACTTCCATTCTGTTCTACATTTAACAATAAAATAAACCGGTATAATACATGGATTTCGTCTGTTTTGTGTATATATATGCACAGTTTCAAGAATAAAAGTTTTCAAACGAATTTAAGATTTATTCTGTGTAATTTAGTAAAAGGCATCAGTGTGCTATTTTGTGCCGCCAAGACTTAAGGGTACACAGATGAAAGCCGGTGTTATTTGTTTAGATGTATCTATTATTTGTGTCATATTGTTAAAAGTTTTATCAACTTACATTTATTCAGCTAAAGTAGTGTTTAGATTTCTGAACCATTGTTTTGATTACTTCATGAGAAGCTGAATTCTGTTTGAACACCTACCTACCTATTAAAATGAGATTTTCAATCTGATCAAGCTCCATGCAATATTGAAACTTCCATATTTCCTTTAAAGCACCAACTGTACATAGATCAGTGTCATAATTGATGAAGCTATATACCTAGGATATATGTTAAATCTTACCAAGTCAGTCATTCAGTGAAGAAATGATTGTAACTACAAGATAGAATATACTTCGTGTGTAAAATGTTATTGATGTTAATCTTATATTTATTGTGATTTTTCCGGTGACTTCGCTGTAGTTTCCAGGATTTGGGAATGTTTCTTTTAATGTAAAGTTTAAATAAGCTATTTCGCCTAACACCCTTTCTGTCTTACGTTTTATATTAAGCTTCATATTATACATGGTTATTTCTTGAATTCATTGAGGTATAAAATAATCGTCTTAGGTGAATATCCTTCACTTATTCCTGATTTTCTTTCTTAATATTGGAACCAGTTATCGCATTCTGTGTTTAAATGTGACTGTGACACTGAGAAATCACTCCTTTGACTGAGTGACACTATTTTACGTTGTACTATGAGAGATCGCACATTAATGATATATATATATATCCCCACCTCAGCAGCTACATTGATTTAGTGGTCGGGCTTGCCAACCTTAATTATCTGGACGATCTATTTTGGTCGGATGTATTGTTCTTTGAGATCATACCATACTAGACAGGTCAGCCGAGAAGCGGTGCGACTAAATGCAGTGAACACATGGTGCAAGGGTGAAGTCGTACTGCTAACTTTACTGAGGTGTGATGAGAGTAAGGTGTTTCCCTTCAGTAACGAGTATCCTCAACAATCTTGGCTCCTTACAACGGAAGAAAGGGATGGGATAGTTTGACCTTGAAATGTCACATTTCACCTTACTCGACGGATTTTCATCTCTGATGGCAAGGTGTTTTGAGGTAAAGAGCTGACACACCAAAAGCTCCTAGATAGAATGGATAACCGGGAACTGAGAACCTCCTTCTTATCTCTTCTAGCATTATAGTTAACATCGCTAATTGATTCACAAGACCCCTATGTATTGACTATAATCTTCCGAGGATAAATTCTGAATTCGTCGTGTGATATCGTCATCAGCGGAATTTAAACCTGTCAGTGTGAGGCAGTTACCCACAAAGTGCATTAGCAGATGATTAGACGTTATTAACAATTGATTGAAGTTAAACATGTAAATCATTGTATGGTGACTTATAACTCTAAACTCTAAGCGCTCACTGTGAGAACTGTAGATCTTGGGGTCGATTTCTGTTGACGGGGTTGTGGATGAGTTCTGTCGAGGATTGCCATACCAGGACGGAACAATTGTCCAGTGTTTCCTGGCTCTCAATTATTGCTGAACTAAGATAAGTTTTTGATGCTAACTGTGCATAACTGATGTAGATTGCAACTGGAATCGAATGTTCATTGTATTTGTTCCTTCCTGCACATGTGCACATATAGTTGTTACTGCTTAATTTCATAAATGTTTATATAGTGAATTAAAATTTTAAAATCAGGAATTTATCATCTAGTTTAGGGATTAGTGTTGAATTATTATTCTTTTCTATCCTCTGAATATTGTATTTCAAAATTGATATTACTGTGATTCTATAGAGTAAAAGAACCTTGAAGCTAGACTGTGTGATGTGGAATTATAGTTTGGAGTAACTGAATTTACATTTAATTAGTTGTTAGTAGTCAATGCTGACCAAACCTGTTATTACTTACAGCGTATCACAATGTATCTGACTTCATGTTATTGGATCAATTTCATATGTACCTAACCGTTTGTCCACACAATAATTATGTTTAGCATGCCTCAAGCCAAAAACGTTAATGATATTGAAGACTTCCTTATCATTGTGATGTTATTTTGCTTTCAAAACTGCAACAAAAATGAATTTTCATATGAGAGTACATACAACTGTACATTCCAGCTCCTAGCGCAAACTCTAACAAAAATAACAAGAAATACAACTTTGCCACTCATTTGGATATAACAAAAATAACAAGAATCATTTGAATATTTTCTCTTTAGTAGCTCTTACCTAATGGGTTTGATGTAAACGCAGTTTTGCCAAGCAATTAATACTGTTATCTTCATTTGGCTTAATAATTTGAATTCACAATGTTTTGTTTGAATTTTTCGTTGATAGTTAATAGATTACACATATTCACATGCCTAAACAATTCTGTTAACACTGTTCATTATTCTTGGAATTAGGTCAAGGACAGACAAATTTTACTCTCTTATCTCATCTGAACATCATTTTACTAGTTTTAACCCATCTTATTCTTAGATTCTTATTTTTCAGTTATATTATGTATTCCGATGAAAGTGCATTTTGTTTTATCCATACTACCTACTTACGGAATTACTATGTATACGGTATTTCATTTGTAAACATTCTTGTTGTTTTGACGGTATCAATATCCGTGCTAAATATTTCTTTCGTTTTCTCTTTTTTTCTTACTGTTAGACCGTTAACGATGCAGTCAATTTTATGCCGGTTAGTTACTACTATTTTCAGCCATATGAATCTTTTCATAGCATACTTCTCCATTTGTCGTGTTTTCATGCTCTTAATTATTATTATTATTATTATTATTATTATTATTATTATTATTATTATTATTATTATTATTATTATTATTATTATATGTATATATTTTCTTATTTTTTGCAATAATGTTTGGTTTGCCAATCAGTTAATATTACGAAGTGATCTGCTATTGTCAAGTCAATACTGTCCACAAATCTAAGTCAACTAAGTATTTTGTACCAGGTCTTATGCTTTCTTTTGCTGTTTATTACCACTGTCACCAACTGTCCCGTAATCGGAGTAGTTAAACAAATGACTATATGACTACATCCTTATTACAAAATATTAATGTACATGTATGTGAGACAAAACTAATCTGATTAGCGATTACAAAGGATATAACTAATCATTCTATTTTAAGTATTTATGCTAAGAATTAACGTTTAAGATAGTTCTCTAAACGTTCGTAGACATGAAGTAAACATTACGATTTCCACATATTTTCTTTGGTTTGTAGTAAAATATGGATAACCATTTTGCGTTAAAAAATATTTCTTATTTTTGCCATCTGACCACGTTTCATCATACACTACATCTATTGGTCACTTACACTAGACATTGTCAACATGCTACTTTTAACCATCACTACTTTGTCCTTTAATCGAATGTAGATAAGAAATAATAAAACCTGGTTACATTGATTTATATATTAAAATCATACTTCACCCTCATTTTATCTCTCACACACACATACAAGGTATCTTCAACGGTAATGGCAAATAATTCGTCATTTTTGACTGCTAATAATCATTAGTTCTACAATTGTCTGAAAATAAGATTTCTTCCTTCCATTTTATTTGTCATTTATTCAATCCTGTCATAGTTACTTTATTTTCCGATTGATATACAATAATCATGTATCTACCACAATCAAATATTATTTTGTTGGTTAAGAAATATGCTAATTAATATAAATAAATTTTTTTAAAATTTTGTTGTAAAATGGGCCATTGTGACTTGTATCGTAAAGAATTCTTGATTTTCCACTTCCTCTTTCTCTACTTTCACACCACAACTAAAGTTCATTTACAATGTCTTTAGTTGTTTGTTATTTTGACTTCATACATATCTTACTTCATAACTTTTTTTTGTTCTAACACATGTCCACTTCTGATCGTCTTACTACTGTTACATATTGATTTCTAATTCTATTTTAAGGTCGATTTTTATTTACTATTCTAGTTTGCAATTTTATGCCATGTATTCAATTAAGAAAAGTAATATTCCCACATTATTTGCGACGTTCATTGAATGAAATACAGTTGATCTAAGCACTTGTTCGATACTCTTCTAAATGAATTAGAAGAAGGACCAGGCACTTTCATAAGTAGGTTCCGGGAATTGATTACTCGTTGGAGAAAAACTTTACATTTGTGTATCATATTGTGTAATACATGTTTAGACTTATAGAACTGTAAATTTGTTTCGATCGATGATGAATAAATCATTTTTCGTCTCTACAACTTGTTGAGTTGTAAAATAATTTACCAGGTTCCGATTTATGAACTTTGGTTAGTTTAACAGTAATCCAATTTAAGCTATGTGTTAGGTAATGCAAGTTTTGAAATTCTTTCAAAACGTCTTTTGTACGTAGCTTACAACTAGCCACAAGATTGTTTTGAATAGAATTCACTCTGAAAGCATTCGTTGTTCAGGTTATTTGTATATTGTTGTTGAAATTTCTTAAAAGAAATATTTAACTGATAGTTATCTTATTTTTTTAGAAAGCAACTTCGGAAAAGAACGCAATGGATAACAGACGATCGCTCCCTTCACTTGATATTAATAACCCATATACATCAACACCAGGACAAAACTCTTGGACTACTTTAGATGCTTCTGGAGCGTCTCAAACGTCTACTTCGACACACAATTTTACTTTCGTCACGTTTTTGCAACCAACAAAATGTCACGTTTGTGGCAGTTTGATACTAGGTCAGAAGTGGCAAGGCGTTCAATGTCAAGATTGTCAATTAAAGTGCCATCATCGGTGTCGTATGTCTGTACATATTGTTTGTGCTGCGCCTAATTCGAATTGTATTGGTTGGTTTGATTTTTAAAATATAATTATTAAAACTTTTCATGTGATTCAATATTTAGGTTTTCATTCTTATTTATTTAATGGAGTTGGAAGGTTTCCTTTTCATTTGTACCTAATAATCTGGTGAAAACTGTTTAAATCCGTTCATACTTACCTAGTCAAAATTTTTGTTGTCAGACATGTGTTATCACTAAATTTTGCGAATGAATCTCGAAACCCAATAAATGATTTTATGAAGCTCCCAACTCATTGATTCGATTCCTGGTGACTGTTGATGATAGATACTTCAGGGTAATCCCATGCTAAGATGAAATAATTGTCCACTTTTGCCTGACCTTCAATAGTTGTCAAACTAAAGTTAGTCCGTAATGTTGACTATAAAATTCACAAAATCCTCGTAAATTTTTTATAATAATTGATAATGTAGATCGACAAGAACCAATAAATAAGGGAAATATGAACTTTAGAGTTATATAAAAGCTCAGGTTTTCAAGAAACATGAAAGAGGAACACAATTGTTCCACTTATATATTTCAAGTCTTTACTCCTAAAATCTACAATTAGATGTATCGACTATCTTTTGGAATTAAATCTGACTGATTTTCAGTCCCCAGTTATCTCAAAGTCGCTTTGCGTAGATCATAAAACTGAACTTTTCAAGTTTATAATTAATTGGAATTTATTCATCTGATTATTGTTCTTTGGTTTATTTTAGATGGTTCACATGGCTTTGGTGCTGATTTTGAAAGTGATGTAAAGGTGAATTTTGCAACTATTCGATAATTTCTGTGTTTTTGTATCATTCCAGTATCTGCTTAATCTTTTACTTACCTCAAACCAGTTATGTTGATTACGACGATTCAGGTTAATACTTTGGAGGTTTATATTAACTTTAAGTATAGTTTTAAGTACAGTCGCTGTATGATTGGTCTCATTCTGTAAATCAAATTACGTAACGCAAGCATGCAACCTCTCAGCTTTATAATATAAGACTCACCTAGTTAGTAAGTTTTTAATTGCTTAACTGGAATTCAGTATCGAGATTTTTCCGTTCTATCCACTTTATTTCTCATTTTTTATGGGGATCAATAGACATACTTTGAAAGTTATATTGTTTTATCAGTCATTAATAGGAACAAAATAGTTCACTGTTAAAATTTAAGGTATGTTTTCCTAAAGCTGAATTTATAAGACTGAAATTACAGTCTCTTTACAGCTTCTACTGTCGTAATCACTCTCATTTTCGGATGAAACGGAATGAGTTGTATGGTACATTCTACGTAGTTGATGAAAATCAGTTTCGTGTCCAAAAGTTTTCTTTATTTATGTTATTTTTCATCTCAATATTTTGTAGAGATTCTACTTTTGTTAACATTAGTGATTTTTTTTATGTTTCGTTGAATAATTTATCATGGATTTGCTAATCATACTATTCCTGAAAAATTGATCTGACTATATGCTCGCTTTTGTTGTTACTTCTAAATGTCTAGATGCCCAAACTAGGTGGAATCAAACGTGGATGGATGAAATACCGTGTATTTTTATCTGATAAGCGCTTATTCTTTTACGATGTAAGTATTTCTTTATTTTTAAGAGTCTATATAAATGAACTAAAGATGTGGTTCGTATCTTTTGTTTCAATCTATGTTAACCTTAGTATCGTTTACACTGAAACTTTGTCGAAAAAAGCAAAACAAAATGGACTATTAAAGAGAAATTTATTTCCTGTTATAAGTATATGGTCTGTTTGTATATCCTACATAATAGGCATATTATTCGATCAAGTAATTCTAGCTTTACAAATGAATAACTTTGCCTTATATTCATATTTAGTTTTACAATTCCGTAATGTCATTAATTTTAGACTTATACTTTACTGAATTTTCTTTATGTTATCTACAATAATCTGCAAATTGCCTTATTTCTATTAGTAGCATTATTTCTATTAGCTTAAGCATGGTTGTTCAACAAACGCCAATGCCTTTAAATTCGTTATTGAAAAAAACCCAGATAATTAATTATAAGCAGAGATAGATGGTGACCAGCAGGGGAATCGAGGTTGCACGTTTCCTATTATTCTGGATTCTGAAAAGAGCAAGAACAAAGATTCTAGCTGGGTATATCTGCATCCCAGAGTCGATATTATTTTTCAATAATAAGCACAATCAGCTACAACGTAGGACCAGGCACATATATGTATCAGTCCAAGTTGCCATACCGCATTAGCACAGCAAGATGAACACCGGATTCACAGAAGTAGTTAATTCAATGGTGGTAATAGTATAAAAGAAAGATCCCATATAAGGATATAGTACAGGAAGAAAGAATAAGCTCTTAGTAAGGTATAAAGTAGTTCTAATCTCATGGTTAAGGGGGATGACAAAGAGTCTATACACCGACGCCATTGTGAATAATTCTGAACCATGTCACCAAGAGTCTCCAACCATTGGTCGCGATAGTCACGCGGACCCCAACCAAGTAGTCTGCATCTACCAACATGGCTCAGATCAGAAGTTAATGACTTCAAGCACTGATGCCACGTTTTGGTTCGGCCACTCTTAAATTTTATTCAACCATCCGCAACACTAATCAGCACTGCGCGTCATGGTAATCGATGTTCAGGCACAGGCAACACATGGCCCAATGATCTCAGTCGATGAACATTCACAACCTCATCAATTGATTTACCATCATCCCCTAATACCCTGCGTCTAACCTCACTATTACTTACCCAGTGATCCCAGCAGATTCGAGCAATATTTCTAAGGCATCTGTGATCAAGCATTAGTAGCTTACGAGCATCTCTTACCCTTAGTGGCCACGTTTCGCAGCCGTAAAGTAAGACAGAACGAACTGCCGTGCAGTATACTCGTCCTTTTATTGATAGACGGATATCTCGCCTTCACCATAGATGACGTAAGTTAGCAAAAGCCAAACGAGCTTTTCGAATCTGTGCTGAGATTTCGTCAGATACCAACCTATTAGGGCTGATCAGACTTCCAAAATAAATGAGGTTACCAACGCGTCTGACCACTCCACTCCCTATCCTTAGTTCAGGTATTGATACAGACCAGTCCTGAAGCAACAACTTGCATTTCGAGGGAGAGAAGCGCATTCCAAACATTCTGGCATTGTTGCTTAGTGCTGCTGAAAGACTCTGAATTCTATCAGCGTCTTCACCAAACAGGACTATGTCATCTGTGTATTCTGAGTCGATAGCAAGTTCAGAGTGAAGACACTGCACAGCTTAATAAATACATCTAAATTTTAATGTTTATGTGTTTTTCCGATCAACTTGATAAATATATATTAACTTAAATAACTGTTTCACCTTAATGTTAAACGTTTACTTTCTAAGAATTTTCGTCATAATTCAATTTACCAGAATAATCCAATGTGTAGAGTTTATGTTTTATTTATCGGATAATTTTATTCGGTTACATGATTGTATTAAAAAAGTTCGTGCAATCAAATGGCCATAAATAGATTCTGCCTTGCACTTTTATTTGTTAAAATCTGTCAATTAAAATTATGTGTGAATGCTAGGTGAGTATGTCTATAAAATGAATTAGTTTTATTATGCAGTTGGATTGGACTACGATATTTGTGAACTTTAGACAATTAACTGTTATTGAATTGGTAGTTTGTCAATTTTTTTGTGCAAGTAAATTATCACGATATATTTATGTAGATTCGATCACATGTGTTTTTCCTCCAACATGTTGATAAATCATTCACTTTCATCTGTTCAAACTTATCTGTAAGCTTGGAATAATTAATGAAGCAAAGAATCTGACCAATACCCATTTTGTTGTAATCTGACTTCATATTTAGTTCTTTTTCCTGCTCTTCTTTTTGTCATTCCCATCTGTCAGCACAGGGGTCAAAAATAAAAAGACATGCGCAAAATTTTCAAGTGTTCTGATTATTGTCTTGTGTTTAAAAGTTTGCTTCTTTTCCTATGTTTATCCAAGAATTCTTCACTGTAGCATAGTATTAAGTAATAAATTCATTATGAAGCTAAAATTTCTTATGAACTTATCGTTTTATTCGTTTATTTCTTTATTTGAATAAAGATTGTTTCGGAATCGTCAAATATTGCAGCTTTAAACGGAAGTGGCAATTCGTTATCTCCAACTTTCCAAAATTTCCATTTATCAAATAGTCATAATGTTTCTTTGAGTTCATTAAATACGTCCACAAATCCCATGTTCCAGTCGAACAGTCCAAGTCGAATTGTAGATTTACGTAGTTCTGGTTTTTCTGTATCTTATGTAACCGCATCTGATGTAATCCATGCAAAGCAGCAAGATATCCCAAAAATATTGAAGGTATTTTTTTATACTTATCTCTTTTACATTTTTAACGGTGTTTCCTTCATGTAATGGAAGTGTTTTATTGCGATAGGTTTCAGTTATCATACTTTGTGTAAAATCGCTATTAAACAAGTCATCTGACAAGATAATATCCCTAGGCAAAATGTATGATTTATTTTTCTGCCTTTCCCAACATATCTTTGATTTAGTATAGTGGCATTTATAAATCTGTTGACGTCATTTCAGGTTTTATTTCATATCTTCTTAGATCAGCTTCTACTTAATTATCAGTTGCATTCTCTGTTATAACGTAATGATACTGCCAATTAAAGAACAGCGACTTATCGACCAATGACACACAAACCCGTACGGGCTGTCTCGAGTCCTTCCTGGTTGTTCAGTCCAGCATGCAAATATCAGCCTCCGTTATATGAATCATATGTTTCAAAGATATTGCGTTTATATACAAGTCAAACAGACCACACCACACCATAAAATAGAAACTAACATTTGTACAAGTTCTAGCCAAAAGTGGCTGTAATTATGGGAGAATGTAATTAATAAACTGGGCATAACTTAAGGATGGTAAATCGTATAATAATAGTCTATAGGTTAAGGTAAAGCTTATAATAAGAGGAATATGAATATTCATAGTTGAGTTACTTACTAATTATACAATAGAAATACATGTATACTAATAGCCCAACATTTACCATTATTCACGTCGGTATATAAAATTCTCCTTAGTCCAGTTATCTGGAAGATTAATAAATCCCGTTGATAAATTCGGGAGTAAGATTGGTACAAACATAAATCGTTTTCGATATCTGAGTTTTATTGGACAAGTGCAACATATTTATTAGCGTGCTCTGATTGTTGGTAAAACTTCCTACCTTCTTCCTGTAGCTTTTTTTCCACCTTATTGTGTGAATAATTTTGGATGTATGCTACAGTTGTATTCATTGTAAATTAAATGACTGCTTGCATTTCAGTAATGTAGTGTAGTTTTTGGTTTACGAATTTATTCCTTCATTTCATATCGTATTCCGCATCTTCAGGTCAACAAGATCGTCACTACTAACCCGGTCTTTTAGTACATATATCTCAAGAAAAAGTATTCCTACATAGTGCGAAATGGCGAAAAATATCGAATATATACATTATTCATTAACTGACTGTTTAACAGAAAATGTTTATGTATCTTGTTTCAACGATAATGAAGCAGTCTACAAATTCTAGCGACTTGAAATATTCTTAGTTGAATTTTTGGATTTTCTAATGACTAATCTTTTAATATATTGTAATGTAGCTTGTACATCACATCGACTACTGTATATCAATCACGGAGTACTTGTGTTGTTTCATTTTTCTCAACACACCAACCTATTGGGATTCTTAAATTAATCTATCTTATAATTTACAATGTTTTTATATTTATTAGGTTGTTGTGGATGATTATCTTCCGAGCGCTCCATTATTTCTCTTATTTGAAAGCTCTGCACTTTGTGAATGTTGGTTTAAACTAATTCAAGATGTATTAAAATTACTACAACGTCATATCAATAGTGATAGTGAATTGCAGGTATGTTGTAAATTTTTTTGATAAGTGATTTATGTATTCAAGTAGTTTTAATTCATAGATTATTATCGGTGTATACATTCCATGTTGAAATTGTGAAATATTATTTTTATTATAAAAGGTCATTGTTCAACTTATATTTCATATGTTTGTGATTATGACAGGGTTTCATGTGTTAAATAAACGTTATAGATAAATTTAGTTTCACGCATCTCTACTGCCTTGATTCTGATTGCAACTGTGAAAAATGGACGTGAAATACTCATTTAAAATTCTTACAACCGTTTTTTATCACTTCATATACTTGTCACAACACTATCCAGTGATGCGACCAATTTATATCATTTTTTGCTACCATCAGTGGCTTACTAGTTACAGCATTGGACTTTCAACTATTGAGTTGTTTGTTCAGACTATATTCTACTCATTTCAGTTTTGATAACCTGTTGACATAACCAGATCTCACAAAAATGTATATTTTGAAGCCGCTTACGCAGGTATATAATTGATTATTCGAATACCCGATGTATATTATTTTATGTTTTCTTTTTTTGTTGTTATCAACTTCTTTCACTATGATATATTTCCATCCCGTTTCAATCAACGCATGTCAACATAATTGTCAAATCATCTGCATCCTTTCAAAAACTTCCACTTCATTTTCTTTGTTTTTATTCTGTCCCTAACCCCAGCAGTATTCAGTAGATGATATTACCTGTTTAGATAAGTTTCTTAAATTCATCATATATAAAGTAGTTCATTTCAAATGTTTCCACCTTTTAATGCCACGTCTTGTCGGCAGCATACTTTTATCATGTATTCTTAATTGGTTACTTGTTTTAAATTGCTTTTTGTTTGAGAATCTTGTGATTTCATCGGTAGCCAAGTGTTCGGAGTTAGATTTTTTGTGTTTACCTAAACAGTCTCTTGGTTTAATGAAATTTTTATACTAAACTATGCTATGTTCCTTGTAGGTTTGTTTTCTAGATTTTAAGCCCAGTATTCCTCCATACATACCTTTTCATTCTGTCTTTTTTCAACGATCTTCCCAATGTTTAATACTTTTCATTGTCATTGCTGCTACACTATTTCGATTTTTTCACTGATTCATCTGATTAATTTTATCTCGTTATGGTAATGTGGCAACTTGAGACTAATGCACATTTTGCCGGGCTCTGCATTGGCTTTAGTTGATTGAAGGACTTCAGTTCTATCGATTATCAGGAATATATTACTGGTTTCTTCCGAAAAAAGATATTTAGTTTCCAAATGTTTTTTATTGATTCTTTGTTTTTACTATTGACCTATATTTTTCCAGTAAGTAAAGAATCTTCAGAATTATTACTTTATTTTAACTTAACATCTATTATTACTACAAAGGATTTGCGGAGGTTGTTGAATTTCATAGTCTTCGTTACTGACTGATCCTATTTAGATAACCATTGAAGACCAGGAAGCACTGAACAGCTTTTTCTTCCTTATATAGGACTCCTCGAGAGTGGAACTCAGGACCCTTACGTCTCGCTCTATAGTAAAAATTATGATGTCAGAAGTTCAAGTCTTGGTTCACTTCTTAGAAGACCAATTAGTATAAATAGCATGCACTCATAAATTTGATTCGAAATTTTATACTTAAATCTGTTATAGTTTATTAAACTACTACATTTATTAATTCAACCATAAAGTTTACATTGAGAGTGTATAATTAATTTCTGTCTAAAATCTCGATTATAAATTTGTTCTTGCAACGTGAAATATGTTATCTATTTAATAAATATTGGTTCATACCACTCAACCGATCTTACAATTCAACTACATTCTCCTTAATTCGACTATTAGACTTAATAAATTTCGATACTATTTTTTACTATTTATTTTTACATCACTTTGCTAACTAATTCTCTTCATAGAATATGTTCATTATTACAAATTATTGTTGAGAGATACATGAAGAAATACTTCTGTATGAAATTTATCACAATTAGCTCCAACCATTGATCATGGTTCTCTCTTTATTTTTTCTGATGACTCATTTGGCTTTCGTCTATTTTATTATGTTGACTGTTGCCGTTGTTCTTATTATCATGTCTTTTAGACATAATTCATATTTAAATTTTCTGTCAACTTAAAGTAACCATTGAATTATTTTCTGTTGTTTTATTCATATTTCATTTTGTGAGAGTAAAATCCCATACAAATGTACCTAATTATGAATTTATTGAAAACAGTTGTACTCAGAATATTCTACAAAACTGTTTATTGCACGCGATATATATATCGTTCATTCTATGATTACTTTATTTGATCATTGTCTACTTCATGATTCGGACTAACATACAAACATGCACAAAATGACTTGACGTTTGGTTTTTGAGGGATCTGATACTTTTATCTTTTTTCATTCTCTAGTTAAACTTGTACTTTTCCATATTTTACTTCTCCGGACATGCTGTATTTTGTCGTACTTATCGTCATATTGTGCTCTATCATGCATTAAGATGATACATAATTAACAAGTAGAATATTAGGTGTGTGAATCATTATTCGATTGTATGTGTTTTCATACTTGTTATGTAGCTATAGAGTGAGTTCAGTGTCAATGGTCAAAACCGGTAGAGATAGTAAAGGTCTTATCATCACTGTTATTCTCTGAATTCTGAACACATTTTCTCCGATTTCATTCAGTCCTTTAATTTTGCTCGCCACTACTTGAAGTCACATGTTTGGTAATATACTTGAGAATTTCATTCATAGAAATTTGTACGGTAATTATTTCTGACCGTCGTTGAACTGACATTAAGTTTATCAATGAATTCATTGTGTATTATATATCGATTGATATTACTTAATCTATTTACAGTAACCAAAAATTACATTTATAATATTTTGATAAGTTCATATAGACATAAAACAAATTTGAACTTTTCAGTTTATTTCTTATCTTTCTGTTTAACATCATGTTTAATCCAATAATATTATTTTTATTGTTAGTGCTTGTTTATTTACATTAAAACAGTATAGTTGTGCAATTAGTTTATCCTGCCGTTAATGTGTTTTGATGTTGTTTACTCTCCATTTGTTTTTTTCTCAGTGTTTACAAGTGCGTGATATTTCTGTGTCTTCTGTATCCGTCATATTAAAACAAATTAATTGTGCTTCAGTTTTAGGTAAGTTCTTATGTCACGTTTTCCATAGAAACCTTTTTATCGAATTATATGAGTGTTCATATCCCTAATTTAATTCTATTATTACTTTTCACTTTTCTGGATGTCTGTAGATGAATACCGATTCTTGGCTGGGACGGATGAAGGACTCTATATTGTTGATATTAGGCACAATAGTAAGTTATTTTTTGTTTAACAAAAAAAGCACTTAAGTATTGTACCACATTAATTTCTCAGTCTTAGGGTCGCACCATCACCTTAGCGACAGTAGTGTTAAATCTCAGTGAAAATGGTAATTCAATTAATGAAACTGTAAACTTGCATCGATCGGGGTGATTTGGAAATATGTTTCTCATTCCTAACACTTGCCTACTCTAATGTACAGAGGTATGCAATATTAAAGAATATTGGACTGTGGGCTAGTAAAATAGAAAATGACATTTATTAAAGTTATTGATTGGCAGTGTTAGTTGTCTTGGTAGTCGCTGACTTCTTAGTTAAATTCCACAAAATAACTGTTATGTCTGACCGTGGATTTTAGAGTGAATCAAAATAAATTACAGTGGCGCAATTCCATTTATTTCTTAATGTTATTATTAATCATAGGCCTTCATACAAATCCCCATTTTATAGTTTCCGATATATATTACGTTGAATTGAACTTTGGAACAAGTTTAACATTTTTTTCTCACATGCATACCATCTTTACTTACTTTCTCTATGGCGTTAACTCTTATTGTATAATCATTTGCGCATATTAATTCATTAAATAACACCCTTTTGTAAAATTTCAGATTACTCATTTTCATTCTCTAAAGTTGATAAGTGATCTTCAGTTTACTTTTTTTTTCTTACTAAATAATGGGTAAATTTCTTAAGAATCCGCTTTTATGACTACCACAATTATCTTGTTTGTCGTTAAATCATCGAATCGTCAATAGATATTCAATATAGAAAAGTTAGTCAGATTGATAACTGCGTTGTTGTTGTTTTGTCTGCAAGTCGTACTTAGTTCAAATGCTCTGGTACGACCAAGTGTGAGGAGAGTCAGCTCTCCCTCTCGAAATGCTCTCACATGACCACGTGCATAAAAACACTGTCAGGGAAGTCCCACTCACTGCCTCCTCGCAGTGGTGGGGTGTTCTTTACGAAATTGAGAGGACGAAAAGTGAATGTCCGGTGCTTTAACCAGTTTGGTGGATATGTAGGATCCACCTAGGGAAGTTAAGAAAAAAAACCTAATTTTAAACCAATGGTAAACATGGGCTTCAGAATTTTAAGAGAAAAAGTGAAGTATGAACCTATCGTTGGTCACCGGCTACCATCGGAAGTACAACACTCTAACGTTGCTCTCCTGTCTTGTGGATCAGACCTTTAGGTCGAAGGCTCTGAGTGTGACTCTCTAAGAAAACCATCTGCTTCGGTTCGAGCACCCGGGAAGTATTCTAGCCCTCACACAAATCAAGTAAGTGGCTTATGTGGCGCATATGTATTTGGTGCCTCCTCGTACCAACGTTTTTGTGTTTATATAATAAAATAAGTTGGCGCCATTATCCGGTGAAACAACTGCAGTAATTCTAACGTGTTGATGTGACTTACAACTTCAATTCTGTCGTAATGATAGTAATATAATTAACCCATAAAATCAGTCACGGTAAATCACATGTTGATTCTGATGATAAAATGTCTACCTATCTTTATCAGAGACTTGTCCCAGATGAATTTGCCGTTGTTTGTTGTTATAGTGTTTTCCATTTTGCCAGTCTTGTTTTTTATAGCTGTTAGAAACTGTCAAGTGGATAATTTACTTCGATATTTTGTGTAAGCTATTTGTTTCAGGGTGAAATTCGTTTTAGTGAACAGAATTCAAAACTTGTATGAATCTATATTCAAAAGTAAACTTTTGTGTATTCAGCTTTATACGGTCTTCTAGACGTATAACTTGTTAATTTCATTCAAATGATTAACTTTTGTTTTTATGTAGTCAATACACGTATAGGTGCACGTAAACCAGTTTATCAAGTTGAAGCATTAGCTGAAGAACTTCAATTAGCTGTTGCTATACAAGGTTAGTGTATATTAGTTGATTTTTGAATGACTTTCTCAATGATCACTTTTCATCTTATCACGAAGATATTTTTTGTGGAAATTAATTTGGATTTGTTATAGTTTCCTGGTCGTAATTTTTTAAAAATCTCAATATTATTAAGCGGACGTGTAGTGTATATTCAAACATTCTGGTCAAGATAATGTAGATTTATAGTTTAATCAGTGAGGCAACATGAAGTTTTAGTCTGTTTCATAATCGATTATTTCGTTTGTACCATGGTATTGATTATCACTACTTAAGACTGAACTAAGCTTTTGATACTATACAAATCATTGTCTGAGTGGTTTTCTTTACACCGTTGCCTATATTGTACATTTTGTAACCTCAAGACATAAATTTCGCTCTCTTGAATAACTACGTGCTTTGGTTTTTTCTTATACTAACTAAAGCCAGTACCCATAGTTGTATTGATAAGTGTTGATTTTTTGTGCTAGTCATCTTTTTCAACTATTCGAACGTATTTTGGTGACATTCCTAGTAAATTATAAGAATTGTCAACTGGAATAATTAGCTGTTTCTTCACTAGTGCAAGGGGATGAATCATATTTCAGTCAGTGTACTGATAAACTAGATTATTATTGATGTTCTTATGCTGACAGTACTATAGAAAATTTTTTTGATTAAACTGATTTGTTATTTTGTGTTATCTAAAAATTCAAGTACCAAATTCCCAATTATATATTTCTCTTGTTATATCTTGTTTAGTCTTTTTAGTCAGACAGAAATACACCGTCATTTTATTCATTAAGTAAAATACTATCTCATCTGTTTTTTATCATTGAAATCATCAAGCTTTCAACCATAGGAATGGATTGGCTAGTTAAATCAACTTAATGCAATTTTAATTCCCTGTACCATATTTCTTTGCTTGATATGTTAAAATATTTAAATCTAAACTTACATACATTTGCGAAATATGAATGTACAGTATTTTGGTTTTTTTTAAAAGCTTTTATCATAAGTCACTCAAATCATTATATTAAACTAATGCTAATTTTGTATATGTTTCCATAAATAAATTGCTCTAACGTATACTTCAACGGAGTAATCAATGAATTATTTTAACTATCTGGATTTTGGATTTCTTAATTTAGGTAAACAACGATTCTTAAAATTAATACTGGTTGGATCATTTGAAGGAATGAATTTAAAACCAATCAAAATTACTGAACCAAAATTATGTACTCGATTTACTTGTTCAATGAGTCGAAACAATACAGTTTGTTTAATTTGTGTGGCCAGTAATCGTTCACTGTTCATTTTTGAAATTGCACGTGTACAAGGAAGACATAAACGTTTAAAAGAAATTTCATGCCCGTATATTGTTCAGTCTATCAATTTTGTTCGAGATGGTGATTGGATATGTGTTGGATCGTCAAATTATTTTGCTTTGTTTAGCATATGGACCGATGGACCCGCTCAAGGTAGGGATTGTATTGCCAGAATACTAGTGACTTTTAGTCATATTTAGTCATATTCAATGCTATATATCCCTGTAAAAATAAATGACCAGAGATTTTATGCTTTCAATCGTTTATACAGTTTTCAATCCGGTATATAAGGAAACCTGTGTAGTTTATCTTACCCTAACACTACTAGATTGGCTCAAAGTCGAGTAGAAGAATGTATGTGTTTTTTGCTTTGCGTCCAACAATTGAAAAGGTAATATATTTTCCGCAGGTATCAATCAAATCAAAATTTATGTCTCCGTGTAAAGTAGTGGCTTAGTTGTTAAGATACTAGACATTCAAATCACTAAGTCACAGTTTCGAACCCTACACTAACTTCTCCGGTTTAGGCGATCGGGTAGTATCATTAACCTTCGTAACCATGTACCTGGTGAATGAATTGGTTTGTTTATTGTATCTTCGTACCTACATAAGATTACTATACACGCTGATTTCATTTTTTTCGTTTGGATTTGTGCAAATATTGTCTAATTTTTGATAGAAATAAACTGTTTTATGACTTGTAGATTCCTAATATCATTTGTTTTCCAAATTCTCTATTTTTAAAAGTTTTATTACGTGGAGACCTCATTGACCTTGACTCTAGCCTGGCATTCTTCCAACACTCACCGTCAGAAGCTCATTGTGCTGTTCAATTGGGAGATGATGAGTTTTTGTTAGCATTTGAAAGTAAGCACAAAGTGTTCTCAGTCTCTCGATGCATTCCATATCTTTTCGTCGTCTACATATTACTCATACATTTTTAAACAACTAAACTATTTCCTTATCTGTTTGTTTTGCTTTGTTATGTAGATTGTGGAGTCTATATGAATAGCAATCGTAAAAAAACACGACCAGATAATCTTATGTGGCCTGCCAAACTTATTTCTGGTACTGCTGTTAGCTTTTCCTATCCATATTTATATGTATTTACGGAGGCTGGTTTAGTTGTTTTTAATGCTATCACTAGTTGCTGGGTATCAACACTTAGCTCCTGTCGTGTTCAACCTTTAAGTATGGATGCACATTTATGTCTTGCACACCTATCATCATCGTCTATTTCAAACTCGTCGTCTCGTAAATCAGCAGTTGGTGGTATCATGGATTCTTCTACCGGTAATGTTGCTACACCTTCCCCACCATACATTTCTCCAAGCGATTTAGTTTCTGGTCAACAACAACAGCAACTGGTACGGTTGATCCACTTACCTCAAATATCCGATAACAAAGAAATGTCGAAACAACAAGTGTCGGCGTTACGAAGTAGGCGATTACAAATGCCTCAGTCTAGTATCTTTGGTGTTACGGGGCGCGTGCGTGTAAGTGTTGGTATTTTTTGTAAAACAAGTAATTATTTGCTACTATTAATAACATTTTCTGCTTCACTTAGTTTTGCAAACATTTAAATATGAATTAATATACTAAGGTTTCCGTTTTTCTAACCAAACCGATGACGTTGCTCGAACCAATTGTGTCACTGTGTTAAGAAAAACACTAGAATATAGTAAAGTGCTTAATTTCATGAAATGTGATTTAAGTATAATAAGTTTAATGATGTTGCTTTCATCAATGTGGATCATTATTAGTTGGTTTTATTGCGTACACCTCACTCGATGTACATTATAAATTACTAACCTGGCGCACATGCATGTAAAAGGTAATAATACTAATAGTGATGCAGCCGGGATGGCCGAATGGTTAAGGCGGTGAACTTAAAATCCCATGGGGTGTCCCCGCATGGGTTCAAACCCCACTTCCAGCAGGCGGCTTTCGTAGCCACGACACTGCCCTGCCAGCATCCCTCACTGTGGCAACACTGGAAACCCTCACATTCCCACACCACGGTAAGAACATTTATCGACATCTAAGTTTAATGAGTATCTGTCATTCGAAACACAGGTCACTTGAAAATGGTTTAAACATAATGCGGTGTATTTCGCAACTCTATGTTTAGACCCGAAGTGTTTAGTAACATTATATATAATTTTTTTATCGCTAGATACTCATTATCTTAAAGTATAAATACAATTAGTAAGGATTTGAAGCGTTTTCTTTTAAGCATGTAATTATTATTTATAACTTTATTCTTCTGTATTACGTTTATCATTAGCTTGTAAAATCATCGATTCAGCAGGTATGCTAAACTTTGTCTCACAGTTGTCTTGAACTAACTATCGAATTATCTAAACTAACTCAGCATTCACTAGTGTTGTTTTTGAAATGTCTTATGAAGCTTATTTCGTGAAAAATTTATGGGATTTTTTCGTACATCCCATGCGTATATTTTTTCCTTATTTTCCATACTTCTCATCACTGCATTTCCTGACCAGCAGATATTTTCACAACCAGTCCATTACGTTTAATCAGCAGGATGCTATCAGTAAATGTTAATACTGAATAAAAAAAGGCGAAGTCTAATCGACATCTTTCTACACACATTCCCATCTTTAACTTCTGGTAAGTTAAATATGACAACTAGATATAAAAATGAAAAAGTGAAATATCAATTCATTTCAATATATTTACTATCGTAATAGTCCTGTTATATTTTTGGATAAGTGAAAGTAGAGGATAATTACAAAAATGAAATTCTAAGAAAGTTGTTAATAATATATTATTTTGATCTCTCATATCTTGTTCATAGAAATCTAGTCGTTTCAATTTGTACTCTCTTGTGGAAGACAGTTTATCAAGTACTACCCATGGGGTTAGTCCTGAAAGATTAAGAAATTTCCGTTCTCAATCACAAAATCGAACACCACAACCATCTGTGCAATCAAACGTACCATTAAATCCAACAAGTGGGACTTCTCGTATATCACACCTTATTTCAGGTCCCTCAGACTTTCGTCACATTTCGCACATGGGACCTCAAATAACAGGTGCACCTCTTTTAGATCTCACTTCTAGCCCAGGGGAACCACCTCTCACGGAGGCTGAACGAATTGCAAGATTCAAGTCTGTATTGGAAGAAAAATGTGGTAACGGTAACCGAAGAGGTTCTTCACCTAATAATATTCCTAATGTTTCACTCCACCTTCCTTTTTCCGACCCAAACAATTCACCAGATGGTTTCCATCATAATGCTTCATTGACTCAAATGTCGACGATAACAAAATCCCAATCTGTAAGTTATATACCAACTTTGGGATCTTATTTTTAATTTATTCATTTATTCAAACACATAAACACTGGTACGAGGAGGCACAAAATACATATGCGCCACATAAGTCACTTGATTTGTGTGAGGGCTAGAATACTTCCCGGGTGCTCGAACCGAAGCAGATGGTTTTCTTAGAGAGTCACACCCAGAGCCTTCGACCTAAAGGTCTGATCCACAAGACAGGAGAGCAACGTTAGAGTGTTGTACTTCCGATGGTAGCCGGTGACCAACGATAGGTTCATACTTCACTTTTTCTCTTAAAATTCTGAAGCCCATGTTTACCATTGGTTTAAAATTAGGTTTTTTTTCTTAACTTCCCTAGGTGGATCCTACATATCCACCAAACTGGTTAAAGCACCGGACATTCACTTTTCGTCCTCTCAATTTCGTAAAGAACACCCCACCACTGCGAGGAGGCAGTGAGTGGGACTTCCCTGACAGTGTTTTTATGCACGTGGTCATGTGAGAGCATTTCGAGAGGGAAAGCTGACTCCACCCTCGACCGTACTATGATATTTGGTAGCACTTTGCGATCTTCATATAAAGTGGAAAAATGACTTATAGTCGATTCTAGTGGTAAATCCTCAAATGAAATCTCTTCAGTTCGGAAAAAATTAAAATTCGTACTCAAAGCACTAACAAACTTGACATTTAGTGACCATGATTTATGTAGCTTCTAAGTAAGCTTCACGCAATTAAACACATGATGCAAACTTTTTATTTAATACTAATGGTGATTGTTTTTAAATATATTACCACAATGTTGTACTTTGTTAGATAAAATGTCGAGTTAGACATATTCGTGTAGATACAAAAATCATCCCCAATAAAATAATTAGAAGTTTTACCATCCAACATAATTATTCCTCGAAAATTTTCTTGTTGATTAAACGTATTCATGTTTCTCTAATTACAATGATAGCTCTAACTTTCTGATTCATACTTGTGTGTATAATGTTTCCAGTCAGTTTTGAGCTATATTTCGTATGAATGTTATTTAGCCATTCAAACTGTATATTAGGGGCAGAATTCTCATTCATACAACTTATTTGATCTATTCGTCTACCAATTAAGGAGCGAATATACTGCGCGGCAGTTCGTTCTGTTTCACTTTACGGCTGCTAAACGTGGTCATTAAGAGTAGAAGATATTCGTAAGCTACTAGTATTTGATCACAGATGCCTTAGAAATATTGCTCGAATCTGCTGGGATCACTGGGTAAGTAATAGTGAGGTTAGACGCAGGGTATTAGGGGATGATGGTAAATCAATTGATGAGGTTGTGAATGTTCATCGACTGAGATCATTGGGCTATGTGTTGCCTGTGCCTGAACATCGATTACCATGACGCGCAGTGCTGATTAGTGTTGCGGATGGTTGAATAAAATTTAAGAGTGGCCGAACCAAAACGTGGCATCAGTGCTTGAAGTCATTAACTTCTGATCTGAGCCATGTTGGTAGATGCAGACTACTTGGTTGGGGTCCGCGTGACTATCGTAACCAATCGTTGGAGACTCTTGGTAACATTGCTCAGAATTGATCACAGTGGCGTAAGTGTATGCACTTTCTGTCTTCCTTTAAACTGTGAGATTAAAGTCGCTTCATATCTTTCTTTCTACGAACTAATTTTTTCTTCTAGTACTATGTTCTTATATGCAATCTTTCTTTTATATATTATCACCACTACTTCTATTAATCCGGTGTTCATCTTGTTGTGTTAATGAAGTATGGCAACTTGGACCGATTCAAATGTTTAAAAACACTTATCCGTCTCTTCACTTAGGCCGTTTGTCTGATGAATTAACTTTCTATCTCTTCAATAATTATGTATGTATAAACACTTGGAAATTTTCTACTAATTTGTTATGTATCTATATTTCCTCTGATGAATTCTCAATAATGATGAATATTCTGTAAAATCCATTTTTGCATGAGACACTGAATATTTACTTAAACTTATCAATTTACAATTCTCTTATCTTTAAATTGAAAATTGAAGTATCTAAATTTTGTTTCCCTTTTTTACTGTAAAATATTTTCATCTTCGCTTGCATCTATACCGGGTATAGATATTGTTCAGAATTATTGTTAAAACAGTTTTATCAACTTACATTTATTCAGCTAAAGTAGTGTTTAGATTTCTGAACCATTGTTTTGATTACTTCATGAGAAGCTGAATTCTGTTTGAACGCCTACCTACCTATTAAAATGAGATTTTCAATCTGATCAAGCTCCATGCAATATTGAAACTTCCATATTTCCTTTAAAGCACCAACTGTACATAGATCAGTGTCATAATTGATGAAGCTATATACCTAGGATATATGTTAAATCTTACCAAGTCAGTCATTCAGTGAAGAAATGATTGTAACTACAAGATAGAATATACTTCGTGTGTAAAATGTTATTGATGTTAATCTTATATTTATTGTGATTTTTCCGGTGACTTCGCTGTAGTTTCCAGGATTTGGGAATGTTTCTTTTAATGTAAAGTTTAAATAAGCTATTTCGCCTAACACCCTTTCTGTCTTACGTTTTATATTAAGCTTCATATTATACATGGTTATTTCTTGAATTCATTGAGGTATAAAATAATCGTCTTAGGTGAATATCCTTCACTTATTCCTGATTTTCTTTCTTAATATTGGAACCAGTTATCGCATTCTGTGTTTAAATGTGACTGTGACACTGAGAAATCACTCCTTTGACTGAGTGACACTATTTTACGTTGTACTATGAGAGGTCGCACATTAATGATATATATATATCCCCACCTCAGCAGCTACATTGATTTAGTGGTCGGGCTTGCCAACCTTAATTATCTGGACGATCTATTTTGGTCGGATGTATTGTTCTTTGAGATCATACCATACTAGACAGGTCAGTCGAGAAGCGGTGCGACTAAATGCAGTGAACACATGGTGCAAGGGTGAAGTCGTACTGCTAACTTTACTGAGGTGTGATGAGAGTAAGGTGTTTCCCTTCAGTAACGAGTATCCTCAACAATCTTGGCTCCTTACAACGGAAGAAAGGGATGGGATAGTTTGACCTTGAAATGTCACATTTCACCTTACTCGACGGATTTTCATCTCTGATGGCAAGGTGTTTTGAGGTAAAGAGCTGACACATCAATAACTCAGAAAATTTGTTTGTGACTGACTGATACGCATGCATATTTCAAATCGGATATAAGTGTAAGGATTTCACATTATTTTATCTAAAGACCGATTAGTTAGTAAATTATTTATGAATTTTACTTTTTCTCTGTGCAATTTAAATTTTGCAAACTGAATATTATCTATGTAAAATGCTTAAATTAGCGTTCTTTTTTTCTCATTAAATTACTTTTTTGTTACTTCACAGGATTTGTCTACACATATAAATTAATGTCTGTAAGGTAGTTGTTTTGATTGTTTATTTTTCCTATGATTCATTGTACTTTTGATTGATGAATTATTGATTTTCTATCCATTATATACCCTTGTGTTGATTCCTTCATGACAAGAGCATGTCTGTCTGCTACCACATACATTCACACACACGCACTATATATATATATATATATATATATATATATATATATATATATATATGCGTGTTTAGCTGCATTTACTTCTATTTTTACCTGTCTTATGCAATGATAATAGCAGACCTACACTTAATTGCCACTTGCACTATTCACAGCCTGAAGTAAAATTAAAGCCCTAGCGGTTGAGCGATCTCATTATTGGAAGCAAAAGCACAGATTTTTGGCTTCTTAAACTTCTAAAAATACTTCCAATTGATATTCGCATTTCTACATTAGATCTTTTTTGTAAAATTAATTTCAGTAACCTGATTTTTTAATTATTCGTATTCGTGCATCAGCCTGTTTTTTGGGTTTTTTTTTCATAAACTTTTATTTACAACAAAAGTCCCTATAAGATATTTCTCATTGAAAAACATTTAATTATCTGTGAATTAAATTAACCACGATTGGTAAATTAGTTTACATAATATCCTGAAATTATTTCATTTCTTCCTTGTTCAACAACTTATACGCTATTCTAAATAGCACTTTACAATCAAAAGGATTTTGGTATACCTAGAAAGAAAGAACGATATTTTTCATCATAGTAAATTGTGGAATTGACTTGTAAGCTTATGAACTGCTCAACCTATGCATCTGAAAATCTGAGATACATTCGGAAATCTTCACTGAATGTCCTTAAAAGTCAAACAGCTTAGACCAAGAAATCGCAATTTCATAAAGCTAACCATACTATTTATTCGTTTTTAAATATCAACCAGATAGTTAAGGTTTATGTCTTTAAATACAAAAAAAAGTGAATTCACATTAATATTTTGATGACAACACTGCTTCACACATTTATATGAATACTTGGTTTGCATACATGTTTGTTTAGTTTTGTTTTCATAAAGTGTGTTAATATAAGTAATTATAGTTTGTCTTTTTTTAAGCGTCTAATCCGCATCAATAGAATTGTAACCTCTTTTTCGACACATTTATAACTTTATCTTAACGTTTTTAGTTGTATTTTTTTTAAAGCTAATAAGTAGTGTTTGTGTTCATTTCCAATGTATCATGTAGTTGACGAAATTTTCTCGTTGTTTATTTATTTATTTTGAAATGATCATAAACATCAGAATGAATATTATGATTTCTGACGTGATTGTTTTCTAATGTCACTTTGTCATAATTAATAATAATAATTTTTACAAGAGATGCTGAACTTGATTTTTATGATAAATCGATATTTGGTGATGTCCGTTTAGGATCAGCCAAGTTATGTTATGAAACGCAATGCATATTTGTTGATCTCTTAATTATTGGTGTTGTGTTAGTTATACTTTCATTTCAAATTAAAATGCTTGTACAATTTTCTTCTAAAACTATATATACTACCCACATTCCGTTTTCTCTATATTATCAGACAATAGTTTATTTGTTTATTTAGTTATTCTTGTTAATTTTATATAGCTTTCATAGATAATCATATACTTACATATCTAAGTGATTGAATTAAGTAGTGCGCAGAAATTCTTATTTTTCATATTATTTTCCTTTTATCAACAATTCTATGACTAGATATAAAACATATACTCTACTTTGAACTACTATTTCAATGTTAATTTGTATCTGATCTTTCGGTGCTTATGTTTGTTCAGTAAGTAGTTGAAAGTCACTCAGCTTCGCTTGAAGCTCTAAAGGTTTGTCTTCTAGTTCACTAATAGTTCGTTGTATGATAAATATGATTGCTCTTTTCTTCAGGTTTGTTGCGAGTATTTATTGAGCTAAAGAAAAAGTATGTTACGTTAATTTATCTACCAATATTTGGTGAAACTAATAGTTCCACTGAGTTCATTCTCTATAGGTGAACTGGGATAAATATATCATGAATAAGTGTACTTTGTATGTAACTGATATGTTTTTGCTCTGTCTGTTTCACTGATTGAAAACAGTATGAAATAAATTATAAGAATTTGCACTACCGTCAAAATAAAGGATAATATCATTTTACTTATGTATATTGTATACCTGCTTAAGTTGTAATAACTAATTATCCCAGATATCATTTCAAACGAGATGGAATAAAAAGGACTTGGCAGGGATTCACTCATATATATATATATATATATATATATATATATATATATATATATATATATATATATATATATATATCCGTTATGCAGTACTTATCAGAACGTACTTTTTTAGGCTTTGTTTTACCTCGGTCATTTTGTTATATCTCACCTTCACGATCAACAGCTTTCCTTTGATTGAATCCATATCTGATAATCGATTGTTCGCACTTGATCATTTCAGTTTTTAAACTAAGTAGAAGCAATTACAATTAAATGATCCACCTGCAAAAGTCACAATGTAGGTTTCCGGTACTGAAATGTATAAATCTTATTAGATTAAGGTTTTTGTCGTTTTTTCTTATGATATGTGACTTTTTTTTACAATTCGACTACATTAACTGTTTTTTCTAAATAATTATTTCAGTAAACACATTTAACACTGTCATTACTATATTCGTTTTTCCAGAAAAATGGAATCTAAGGCTTTTGAAACACGTCTAGAGGTGTGTCTGTTTGCCGTTTTGAAATTTCTCTGAATACCTTCCTTACATTTATTAAAAGGAACAGCTTACCAACCTTTTTTATGAATCATTTTTCAATGATGTGTCTTCTTCATAACCATATGACATTGTTGTCTAACAGTGGTGGATTGGTGCTTATCCTTTTTTTAACATAATCTAATTACAGAGGACCTAATATATAAAATTTCAGTGAACTGTTTTACTACATAGTTTCGCTAATTTTAAATTAGTTCGGTTACTTTATTTTGGTTAGTTTACTTTATTAAAACTGTAAAATCAAATCATTGAAGAAAACTCCATTTCTCTCATTCTAAATTGGGTTATTTTTGTCTAAATTTTCCCCGACGTTAGTTTTCTACCTGAAATATATGTTTTTAAATATCGGAATTCATAGTAAAAATATTTTTTCATTAGCAAAGTATAAATTACTGTTAAAATAATTTGTAGTAAATGAGGTTGTATAAATGTGCTTTATTTCATATTTGGATTTTACGATTTAGATTAGAGAAGTTCACTTCTGATTTTTCGTTGTATTATTTTTAGGTGGATATTTCTAGTTCATCGTATCGATGTGAAAATAAAGTTAAATTCTGTAAAAATTGGTTAAAGTCAGAAGACTGTCTTAGTCCCTACATATTTATTTATATAAACACAAAAACGTTGGTACGAGGAGGCACCAAATACATATGCGCCACATAAGCCACTTGATTTGTGTGAGGGCTAGAATACTTCCCGGGTGCTCGAACCGAAGCAGATGGTTTTCTTAGAGAGTCACACTCAGAGCCTTCGACCTAAAGGTCTGATCCACAAGGCAGGAGAGCAACGTTAGAGTGTTGTACTTCCGATGGTAGCCGGTGACCAACGATAGGTTCATACTTCACTTTTTCTCTTAAAATTCTGAAGCCCATGTTTACCATTGGTTTAAAATTAGGTTTTTTTTCTTAACTTCCCTAGGTGGATCCTACATATCCACCAAACTGGTTAAAGCACCGGACATTCACTTTTCGTCCTCTCAATTTCGTAAAGAACACCCCACCACTGCGAGGAGGCAGTGAGTGGGACTTCCCTGACAGTGTTTTTATGCACGTGGTCATGTGAGAGCATTTCGAGAGGGAAAGCTGACTCCACACTCAGTCGTAGTTTATTTATTTATTTTAACACAGATATTGGTACAAGGATGCACCAAGTACATATGCGCCACAAAAATCTCACTTGGTATGTGTGAGGGCTGTGGTACTGCTCGGGTGCCCAGACCCAAACCATTGGTTTTCTTAGGGGACCACACCCAGAGCCTTCGACCTGAAGGTCTTATCCGCAAGGCAGTGGAGCATCGTAAGGAGATGCAGTCCCATGGTAGCCAGTGACCAACGATTAGTTCCTTTAGGATACTGGAGCTCATGTGCACCATTGGTTTGGAATCAGGGTTTTCCAATTCCCCTTGGTGGACTCACCGTATCAGGTTAAAGCGTCGGGGATTCGCTTTTTTTCGTCTCATTTTTGTAAACAACACACCCTCCACGAGAAGGCAGTGAATAGGTCTTCCATGGCAGAGGCTATATACGCGTGGCCATGTGAGAGGATTTCGAGAGGGAGAGTGGAAACTCCCCACTCTCAGCTGTACCAGGGCATTTTATGGTCGTACCATTTGGAGGCTGCAAGATTGAGCTTTTGACTGACTTCTGCAATGTTCAGAGATGCGTGTCTAAAGTAGTCCCTTTGTGCGGCTAGTCTAGACAATTTCGGCTCCTCTGCTTCACGCATACTGTCAGAAATGTCGGCCTTATAAACATTCAAATGAAAAACGTATGTACACTAGGGGCTATTGCTATCCACCATTTTAAGCCTAACCTTTGCGTACATAAACAGTATGTTCACTCCTTCATTCTTCCATGGTCTTAAATTCCCTTTCTGTTTTCCATCATCTATTGCTTATTTAATTATGTATATTTGTTTCTAATTATTTTCACAACTGTTAATTAGCACTTACTACAACTTTTAATTATTGTATTTTTAATAGCTATCAAGTAGACAATTATTTTCGCCTTACCACTTTTTTCACCAACCGATTATTATTATTATTACTTCCTTTCAGTATCTGAATTTCAATTTTCGACAACACACTGGTTCAAGTTTTTTTTAAAAATATTTAGCACCTTTTTATTTTACTGACAAATAAATATAATTGCACAACTTAAATACATGAAATCGTCGAAAAGGAAATCTCCTTTATTCAATGACACAATGCGTCTCTTTCGTTATTGTGTAAATTAATTATGGAACCCATCAAGCACGAATTGATCCAATTGCTTCTATTAAATTTGTTATTAAGTCCGTAAACTTAATAATTTTAAAGTAATTCACAAAATATAACATTAATCAGGAAACAACTATTAAGTTGTATAAAGTCAAGTTACACTTAGTATTATCTTTCAAAAGAAAATAGCGCGCATATCAGTCAACTGTGATAACTTATTCACGTGTTTTATTCTATATTTGTTTGTTAATGTTTAGAAACAGTCAACTCCTTTTACACACAGATTAAGTTTAACTGATTTAGAATGTAGCGAAGATCAACATTATATGGATCAAAAACCTTCTTTTAATATTGTACCCGGTCAATCCCAACGTGTTCGTTCTTCATCGTTGCGTCCTAGTGTAAAAACTTTACTTTCCAACTTAGGTGATGTAACTAATATGTATAATAAAAATTCCTCTTCTAAATCGGGATCTCACAAACGTATTAATGATGCATCATCTTGTCAAAGTAATGTATCATCTGTAGAGAAAAGCAGTGAAACTGTCACTACAACAACTGCTTTTCCGTCACTTCGACTTTCTAATTCACCAAGTATTCAAGAAACAGTGATGGCATTATTTTCAAAGGTATGTACTATTATTATATTATGGTAATTGTGTTTATGTATAAATGTTTAAAATTTAACTAACATGCAAATATCTGGTTCTAATTCATTAGTATTTTCATTATGAAACATACTTCTATCACACAAATCACTTATTAGTAGCCCCCTACTTCCGCAAAATCAGAAGAATTACAGGTTGTTTCCTCACTAATAAAAATAATAAAGAAAGATCACTCACGTGTAGGTGTTTTAATAAATATGAAGTGTGAGTTTACCATTTTCCCAGTTGATATTATCCTTGTTGTGATAGTTAGTTGGTAATGTATGCTACGCCAGAAAGGAACGAGCTATATATTTGTAATGTGTATCATGACAAATAATACATAGAATAAAGTCCCGGGCGCTGAAATTATATTGTCTAAACAACTGACCTGTAGACTGTTACACTATTTCTTATTTAATATTTACGGTTTCCCCTAATATTCTTACTAGATTTTCATCTAACATGTTCAAATAACCGGATTATAGCAATCCAATTTTTTTTTGCTTTCACAGCTTTCCGATGATAGTTCTTCATGTCCTTGATTTACGATCAAATATCATTTTTCATCCTCTTCGTTTATTGTTATCACTGAAAGGTCCTACCATTTTCTATTTATATTCAAATAGGAATTGTCCACAATATTTTGTGCAGGCTGTGATTTCGTGGTAAATATAACAATAAAAACTTCCCTTATTTTCGCGTTATATCACTGGACTAGTTTCAGTTTTGTTTATTTTTTATTCCGCCATTGCCATTTTGCAAACCATTAATGCTGCGGAAATATCATCTTAAAAGCATCCTCTGTATGTTCTTGAAACATCCTATTGTTTCTTTATTTGTGTGTACATTTTTATTCTCTTTTTCTACTGAATACAATCGTATTGTTCATCCTGTCTTCCCTTAGTCTGTTAATAATTTATTTGTCTTGGGTTCATGTCTCTTTAATTAACTGACTGTTAACTCTGCAGTTTAATTATATTCATGCTTAGTCATTGTAAATTTTTTTTTCATTTCTTTCTTGTTTCTGTCTTTTGGATAAATGAAAATCTGATCACTCCATTATGCAACATCTTTATTACATATGTTACATAATCACCAAAATTTTTGTTAACATATGTAAATTCTTTTACACAATCCATCTATATTTTGCCTTTATTAATGTACATTGATGGTATTAAATAAGAGTTTGCTCGTATATTTACCATATTTTATAGTTCCTATTGGTAATATTATATTTATTCTCATTCAAATATAGTAAATACCCTTTTTGAATTGTCAAATGTACATCGTTTCTCTGAAATTTAAGTGAAATAAAACCGTATTTTAGTTCTTCATCAGTTGTTACTGTTGTGAATTGATCTTACTTTATAATGCTTAATGAATGTACAATGTAGTGTAAGCAGTTTTAATATTGTTTAACAAGATTTTATGCCTAATTTCACGATGATTGTTGTTCATTGTATACTATTTAGATAGTCTTGTTGAATAAGTCATGTTAAATCTAATTGTTTTGTGACAATATTTTTTCTTAAACTTGAAACCATTATGTTATCTGATCTTTTTTCATTCATAGTTTAAAGAACTTATTGTTCATGTGTTAGTTTTTTAGTAATGTGTTCAAAACGGAGTATATGTGATGTGATATAATCATTTTATATCAAACTCCAGGTTATTGGTTATGAGTAAAAAACCGTAATCAACATTTGTATGTTTATGACGTCTGTATTTTTTAAAGCTTAGATTATTTAGTGTGTATAATATATCTAACCTACTTAAGAATTATATCCATATGGTAGGTCGTTTTCTGAAAAGCATACACTGAATCTGAAGGTATTGAGAAACATCGTGATATCTTTCGTTTTTGTGATGTCAAGCATTGATGAAGTCTTTTAGGCACTACTCCTGAAAGATATTATATATTACAATTATTTTTTAAAAATCAAAACATTCCTCACGCCAGCTAACAGCATATTCCATAAGTTCTGGAATTCGTCGTACTGTGATTTCTGGTATATTGATCATTTGTGTATTCCATATCTTTAGTTATTTTAGGTGTTATTATATTTACCAAGTTTAGTTTCTTAACCATGGAATGTCTAAGTTATAAAAGCATTCAATGTACAGGTGGTTTTAAAAAAACCACCATATGGATTTAGGACTGCAGTTTTTACTAATACAAAGCCAACCACAATTATCAAGCTCTTTCTATCATTACCATGTGATGTGCCTTGACCTGTGTTCCGTATGTAAACACAATATGGATCTATGTGTCGATACATGAGGCTTGTGTTGTACATCTACTGTAATCAGCAGTTAGTTTGCAGAGAAATTACCTGCATTATTAATGAAATATACTCTGAATGGAACAAAATTCGTTACTAGAGTTATGTACCATTTAACAGATCCGCACTATCTAGTAGTTTAATGTTTTGTATACCACACAATCAAGCTGTATTAAAATTGATAATAGATTATATCAGTCTTTGATTATCGAGATAGGACACTGACTTGGAGTTGAAACACTTGTTTTATTGATGGTGTTCTATCTTAAAGTCGCTCAACGAGTAGGTACATACCGTTTTTCAGGTTTTCAGTATAGCCTGAAAGTACATTAGAGTTGTATGCTTAAGGAAAGATGGAAAAGGTAAGGACAAAAGAAAATATTAGCCGACCACTCACTAACCATATGGGGTGCTTTTGCATCTAATAATATAAGACATTGATAGCAAACAGTGATAACCTATGACCAAAGCAATTCAAAAACCACAACTAGAAATGTTAGCATTAAATTTTGAACCTGACAAAGGCGGCAAGATAGAGTCGGGTGATTCTCCTTATTGTTCTAAGTTAGGTATATTGTCAAAAGTTTTCATGATCAAGGACGATAAAACATCTTATTTTAAAGTTCATTTGGCATGTGTCATTATGTAAATCCAAATCCACAGGTCTAATGCTCTGAAATGATTTTTTGTGTGGTCAAAGTGACGAAGGGTATCCTTCTAGTGTCACCCAGGAAGAACAAAGTAGAAAGAGTATAATTACTGTTTGCCGGTAGCATTCCGAATTTGTTGGTATTGATGGGGGTGGTTTCGATCGGTTTATTTGTTTCTTTAAATCTCGAATAAATAAGTCGACGGTTGACTCTCTCTTGTTTCCTTACTTTTTGAGCATTGCACAGAGATGGGGCTTCTTACACCTGAAACATAAGCCTAATGTACGCTTTGGTTATATTCACAGCTTATCCCAAACGCCTTTCAAAATTTACTTTATAAAATACACAAACTTGTGAGATAGTTTAGTTACATAAATACTTGACGGTACCATAATTCGTGAATGACGAGTTTGGACCAGATATGCATTCACCAAAGTCAAAGCCTGGGGGCGGTGCAATTTAAGATTGAACCATAACAAGTGTAAACTTATAGTACAGTACTAACGCAAAAACTTGTTTAATAACTCACTGGATGTGTACTCTACCGGTCATTCACATTGGTTTTATTTAATTAATAACCCTACATGAGTCCTATACTATCTATAAACCCATGTTGTAAATTATTGATCATACCTGCATAATGAAGTACGTGCTGGGGCAAAAATGTTATTATTGTTATCCACATTATCTCCATTTTATTCATTAGACTCGAGGAGGTCGTTCACGAAGAGTCAATCCTTTCTACTTAAATAAGATCATTGATACCTGTCCTAACACTATATTCGACAGGTTTCCTGTTCATTTTTATAACGTTTTATTGACAACTCACCTACGGATATCTATTTTATGCTACTAGATTAATAGCTCAACTCTAATATATTTGAATGATCATGATGTGACTGTCAAATCGATAAGGTCTCTTGTCGAAGCTATATTACTATCTACCTCAACTCCCATTATCTTGGTAGTTAGAATCCTCTTCTCTTGTAGAACGTTTAAGAAATGAATGCAATCTTGCTGACATACCAACATGTTTAATATGAAGACGACAGATGTATATACTACAACCACGACTTTATTCCTGAACTATGTCGTCTACTCAGTCTTTCCGCGTCAACTTATTGTCCTTCACCACTTCGTACCTATTACCTTATATACCGTGAATTATCTTCTGCGGTAGTGTACATTCAGCTCGAAGGATGGCATGTAATGATAGGGGTGCACATGGATCCCAGATTGAAGACTTTTTGTATTTTCTCAGAATATCTCGATAATGGTAGTGCCGATCAGTGACCTAGAGATGGTAATATAACGCGGTCCCTTATGATCTATAGGCTGACGTAAATATATTTCACTAAGGACAAATAAAAGCGTGTTGAATAAGTGTATCATTTCCATTTGCTCATGGATATGTATATATCTGGTGTCTGGCCTCATCTACTCGCCGATTATTCGTAAATCAACCCAGTCAGTGATTCGTATTTTATATTTATTCGTACCCATATCCATTCTCTCAACCTTTTTCCTTATCTGCTGGGCTCTTCTGCCTGCGAAATTCAGTCTAAATATTGTTTCGTTTGACTTTTAAATAACTCGTTCTGGAAACAAGCCAACTTACAGGTCAGGAAAATTTACGAAGCTAGCAGGGAGTATTTATCAACTGGGTAGGAAATTTCCCTTTTTTAGGAAACTTTATTGGCAAAATACTGAAAACCTCATCGCTTATAATGAATACAGTCACTTTTTTGGTTCTTAACACCCAGAGACCGTCCCAGTAATTTCCACTTCTGAGTGTCATAAAACGTGTGTCTGGTATCTAGATTGTCTTCTATACCATGAACAAACATTTTTGCTAGAGAAGAATGTTTGAGAGATTAGCTAGGACGGTACTCTCAGGAATCGACATGCCTGGCACTATTCAGTCAGCTTCCCCAGATTTAAGTAAATGGCTGGCTGGTGTAAGATCCGTTTTGAATGTTTTGTGTGTGTGTGTGAAAATCCCTCCATGTATACACTTGCACTTTGTTCCTATTGATCCCCTTAGTTGTACATTGTTGTCTTTTGATTACATTTGAATTGTTAATATTTGTATTTTATTACAGTTTTATTTCGTGTTTCTTCCCGAACTGCATCAGTGTTGTTTTACTTGACACTTGTTCTTGGCGGCAGCCATATTGATTTGCTCCTCCTTTTGTGCGTGTTCTATGCAGTCAGGATAGAATAGCATTCATTTGTTGTGACTGGTAATTTTTCCAGTATCTTTTATTAACTTCTTCATTTATTGTAATTTAGATTTGATTGATTGAACAATCATTGGTTGAATAGCCGGGTGGTAATATTTGTTTAGGTAACGATGTACATTTAAATTTATGATGAATTATAGAACCGCTGTTTACCCGATTACTTGTTTCGATTTTGACGGGCAAGGGCGCGTGTCTAACCTACCTGAACGGCTATTCTTCAGTCCAAACTGTAGTTTGGATTCTACAGCAAGAATGACATCTTTTACTTCTTCATAAGCGAAATATACAACTGAAAGAAATCTATGCAGATCATAAACGCGAAATTCTTTCTACAGGTGTTTTGTTTGCACTTAGGCATTGCTGTTCT